ACATTTTGACAAATTATATGATTAGAATTATAATTTTTGAAATTATTGCTGAAATGCTGGAAATGAGCTTTGTTTTCAAATTTAAATTGTGCCTGGTGTGTTTGTGTTCTCTCTTTGGTGTGTTTAGGTGATTGTGGGTAGCATTTTTGAGGTGATTTGGGCAGCAGTAAAACCAGGAGCCTCTTTTGGCATTAGTGTGTTGCGAGCACTACGTTTGCTGAGGATATTCAAGGTTACCAAGTAAGAGATCAAAACAGCCTGTTCATCTGTGGTGCTCTGTAGATTATTGTCCTAAATGATCATATTTATACTATGACATAGTTAAATGCTTGATTCTGATTTGTTGACGGTTCCAAATTAAGTTTCAGAAGACACCAGACAAGAAATTGGATAACAATGACAAGAAAACTTGTTATTAGTGGTTCAAATGGAATAATTGACTCGTGTCCATTGAATTATGATTGAATAAAAAAGCATATTTAATAGACCCGAGGTGTAACAAGTGCTCCAATTCATGGCATGGCTGTGTTAATTCTCAGTAGTTCAACAGTCTGTGTTTATGTATGTATATAGCATACCACAAATCAAGGTATATTTCTTTCCCTAAACTGATATATCATGAAATGCTTTGGCAGGTATTGGAACTCGTTACGGAATCTGGTGGTGTCTCTGCTCAACTCAATGAAGTCCATCATCAGTCTCCTGTTCCTGCTGTTTCTCTTCATTGTAGTGTTTGCTCTGCTAGGGATGCAGCTCTTCGGAGGACTGTAAGTTTCAGGCTGAGGGTTACACTCACATGTCATCTAGTCCATGTTCATGCCATTGTTTGCTTTAGGTTTTACACTGGACAAGCCAACACAGTCCCAAATTTATTTATTATGAAAAAGTAAAAAAACAATGCCCCTAATATTAAACAATGGGATTTATTAATAAAGCCATAAAGTATATTTGATGATTAGTGGTCAGATAACATGGGTTCGTTTTGAAAGTTTAAGTGTTTGGTTTCTAATTCTAATTGATTTCATGCTCTGAGCAGCCAATAATTTACTGTGCAAATAAATTGTGGACAGCACAAACCATAGTTATAAGATAATATGTATTTATTTAATGTATTTAAAGACTGGCTTCTACCAAAAGACAAATTCATTTGTGCCAATATACTATCAACAAAAGATATAGGAAGCATTTTTCTTCCTTAAATAAAGTCTATTTAATTTGTTGCCCTAACTATGCACAATAATATGGTTAGTTTAATTTTATTATGTTTGTTTTCCCTGCTGTCTGTAGTCAGAACAGATCTGCAACCCACTTTTGGATTTGACCCACCAGTTGAGAACCACTTATATAGACCCTTTACTTTTAAGAGCACTTGTGCGATGCACTTTTGACTGAAAATGCATAAATCAGCTCTTGACGTGGAAAAAAAAAAACTCTTATCGTTTACATTCCTCTCTGCATAAGCAGCCATGACTCTTCCAAGCCCTTTCGTTTCATTTACCCCTCAGCCACATGTTAACAAACATGACTGAGCTGATCCAGACTTCATTTCTCTGTTCTATGAATTATTAATCATACGCTGCAACAGAGGAATTGCCAATACACACGCTTCCCATGAGGTAAATATCAGCTTAGATGCACAAACACGCTGTCATGTGATCTACTGTAATATGAAGAGTGCCAGATAAACAAATAGTTGGTGCGAAATGAGAAAATGTTTTTGAAACTTAACAATGTGGGGATAGCTGCAGGAGAGACTATTCCCTCCCGATGGCAGTGAAGTCTTTTCAGATCTGTGCTTAGTGAAATGAGAAATTGCTTTTGTGCTTCTCTGGTACTGGATTTCAGCTCCATAGCACATTAATATTTAAGACTGTAGATGGACATGATAAACTGACTGTCTGATCTATGCAGTCATTTTCTGGGTTGGATGAAAGAGGTGGTTTCATACGTTTGGCTGTCAAGCACATCAGAGAGCAGAGCTACTGAAAATAGTCAGACCAGATAAAATTCTCACTCAGAATCTTTGTTTAATATATATTTTTAATAAATATGAACTTGAAATAAATTACACATAAAATGCTGTTTGCTAACCAGGTAGAACCCAATGTAATAAGTAATTTGTTTGTTCTCACTTTATTTGAAAATGCTGCACGATGAAACAATCACAGCTGATCAAAACACGATTGATGATAATTATGCAGCTACATGGATTTTGAACCAATGGCATTTCATTGTTGGGGCTTCTAGCACGTCATATTTTTTATCATCCCTATTAAAGTTGTACAAACATATGAATTTACGAAAGTTATATAAAATCATGACAATTTTAGATATCAATGTATAGCAACATTTCACTTATTTATAATTATCAGTAGCTTCAGTTTTCTCTCATTATATTGCTGTTGTGCTATTTTCTTCCAATAAATTGAGTAACTTTTTTGATAGTGCACAAGCCCTTAGTTGTGAGATGTTTCTTCTCTCTTTTTAAGCATTTCTCCACATTCTCTAGTAATGAGGCCCCTACAGAGCCCCCGAGAGTGTATATGGAAGAGAATGGTGAAATAAGAAAGCATATTTATTAGTTCTAGAGATGCAGAGAGGAGGATTCAGCTCAGCTTTTATATGCAGATGAAAAGAAACATTATTATTGGAACATATCAGTACCATTTTTGCAGTTTGTGAGCAAACAAACTGAAAAAATGAAAGATTTTGGAATTGGAGCAAAGCTGGCTCTTAAGCATACACATGAGACTCATCCAAGAAAAGGATTCACAGCTCATCATCTCTCTTCTAGGTTTAATTTTGAAGATGAGACCCCGACGACCATCTTTGACACATTCCCAGCTGCTATCCTGACAGTGTTTCAGGTATTGACCATCTGGTGCTATGTGTCTGAACGCTCTCATTTGATATTTGTAATATTTCCATAATTTATTTTATCTCATAAGGTTCTGACAGGAGAGGACTGGAATGCTGTGATGTATCATGGAATTGAATCCCAGGGAGGAGTGCACCGGGGAATGTTCTGCTCCGTGTACTTCATTGTGCTCACACTGTTTGGAAACTGTATCCTTTATATATAACATAGGACTGTCGTTACAGTCATGCTTTTTAATGGCCTAATTTTTCACGTAAAGAAAACAAAATAATATGCACAAATGGTGGTTTCAGTAATGACACTCATCGTAAAATATAAAGCGCTGCATCTCATGATCGATTAGAAATCATTCTAATAATGATTTGGTGCTCAAAAGAGGAACAGAGCAGCATTTATTTGAAATCTTTTATAACATTATAAATGTTATCTATTTAATTAATCTGTGCTGAAAAAGCATTAATTTCTTTACAACAAATCGTACTGACCCCAAACTTTTAGTGTGTGTTAAAAGACTGCATAAAAAAAATTGACAACCTGACTTGCTTGACAGTTTTATTAGATGACCACTTTCACGCAAATTCCTTAAAGCACATTTGATCAGACACTCTCCTCAATGTCTTTTTGGCCATCGCTGTTGATAATCTTGCCAATGCACAAGAACTCACCAAGGTTGGTTGGGCATGATAAGGACGTATGGCAAAAAATATGAAAAAGTCCTGTGCCAATTTATACATAAAAAGTATTTTTTGGGTGCGTAGATTCAGTTAACAAATCATGATTGACAAAACAGAAATCCTCACAACAAACAAATTCAAATGTCATCCATCCATTGAAAAGTAGTATTTCACTGAAGATTATCATATAAAGTGACAACAGAATACCAAAGTGCACTATCAAAAAAGTGACTGTGCATAAAAAGACCAAAAAACAAACAAAACAAAAAGCAAACGTTTCAGTTCATGGCTGTACAAAAATGAAATATGTACATACATGGCCAATACTAGTTACTGTCACACATCTGTACAGTTCCTGCGCACACAACACATGAGTCTCACATTTGTGTATACCAAATGTGTGATCCTATCTCCATGCTCTGACAGTTTTATTAGTTTCATGAGACTGTCTGTAAGGGCTCTTTTGATCTGACTAATGTTTGCCCTGGTCAATAACTCAAGGTAATGAAGCTTTCAGTCCTTTGTGGAATTTACAGCCTTACATGAAGACGGTACCAACAGTATAGGGCCATAAGGCTCTTGGGACATCACTATCTTGATTTGTTGATGCTAGCGGTGCTTGCCATTGAATGCAAATTTATACTTGTCTGTCATTCTCTGTTTCTGTGTCTTACTCCTCTCTCAGGATGAGGAGGAGCAGGAGGAGGCCATCAGTAAGAAACTGGCTCTGCAGAAAGCCAAGGAGGTAAAGGAGGTCAGCCCCATGTCGGCCGCTAACATTTCCATCACAGCGTAAGTCAGGGGGCATTAAACCTGCCCTCCCCTTTCACTAATCCTCTGAAACACCTGTTCATCACGCCATCATGTCCTCTTCATTGCTTTTTTTTATGTGTCCCAAGAATCATATTTCTGTTTGTCTCTGTAAGCACATTTCTGGGTGTTGGTTTTTTGTTATTTTACTGTTGTCACTTTTATTTGGTCCTCAGTATGTCTCTGTAGGATTCTTATGTTCTTTTTGCAGTTGGTCCTGCACCCATAATTGGTTGTCTTTACTCTAAAATGACATGTATACTTGATTCAGCCAGGCTGTGTGGAGATCTACAGATTTTCTTTATGCTTTCCTGCTGAGGCCAACTGAAAAATCAGTCTGTGTTTGATAAGATTTGTTGTTAGACAAAAAGTCGCGGGAAAGTCGTGGCCTAATGGTTAGAGAGTCAGACTCGTAACCCAAAGGTTGCGAGTTCGAGTTTCCGGTCCGGCAGTAATTATAGGTTGGGGGAGTGAATGTACAGCGCTCTCTTCCACCTTCAATACCATGACTGAGGTGCCCTTGAGCAACGCACCGACCCCCCAACTCCTCCCCGGGCGCCGCAGCATTAATGCCTGCCCACTGCTCCGGGTGTGTGTTCACTGCTGTGTGTGTGCACTTAGGATGGGTTAAATGCAGAGCACTAATTCCTAGTATGGGCAACCATACTTGGCCACATGTCACGTCACGTCACTTTAGACACCAATTAATGTACAGTGGAAAATATATTTAGCGAATGAATGATAAATCAAATGAATTATGCCATCAGAATCTGATTCAGTTATTTGCATTTTAACCTAAATTGGTTGTTTAACTGTAGCTAAAGACAGTTATTGTGGCAATTCAATGAATTAAAGCCAATTATGAATTAAAAACCTAATTTAAAACCAACCATATTTGATCAACCACAATTCTGAATATTGGGGTAACGTTCCTTTCAATGTGGTTATGGCCCTGGATATGACTCTTTTGTATTTTTCCCCCTCAGAATCTTGTAGAAATTCTGAATGATTTTTGTAATGTTTATATTGAGTTAACACATTTATTTATTTGTAATTTTTCATTATGAGGAAATTTTTTCCAGTGTTCAAAAGTCCATTTATTGAATCATTTAATAGAATAATATAATGACAAATTTTGTGTAATATAATTTCATTTAATTAATTAATTGAATCCATTTGAATGCACCTGGAATTTGAATGTCTTTCCTAATACTGTGATGCCTTCTCACCTGTTTTGTTTTAAATTCTGTTTTGAAGTCACACTATTGTTGATATGTACTTCCCATTGAGTTGGGTGGAGTTAGTGTCAGAGTGATTGGCAGCTACAGTCCCTGCCTCTGACTCCGCCCCACCAAACTATTTCTTTCCCCTCTCATGGTTTTTGTTTTTGGCATATGCAGTTTTATAAGGCCAAATCCTGGTGCTCTTTCATGCAGCTCCTCCAACTCCAGCTCTCATTCACCGTGAGTTCATTTACTCTCTGTTCAAATCTCCTCTCCTCCTCTGTCCCAGCACACTGCTCTTGCATGATGCCAGACAACCAAACTAGTCTTGCTGACCAGTCATTCACAGTGAATCTTGCAGTTTAACAGATTAAATATTATACATGAACATATTATGCATGGGTCATGAGAGGAAAACCATAAAGAGTAAAATCAGTGAAGGGTAACATTTATAATGGCTTTTATAAAAAAATGTAATGGTTCTGTAACAACATAATGTTTTACAAATCATTAGTTAACAAATCTGAGTTTTTGGATTAAAAAATATACAAAGTTATTGTTTAAAATGAATTAGAAGTAATGATAAAAGGAAATGTTCTGAAAATATTCTTCAAAATAAATTTTCATTTTAAATCGTTATGGTGATAATGTAATTTGATAATTCTTGTTAATGTAATTAATCAAACAATTGATATTTTAATGAGAATATACACTCATATATGCTTATATTAATATTACAATTTTCATGAGCTACTGATATTGTTGATCTTGTTTCTCGCTTATTAATGAAAGCTATTATAAGGTGTTGCTGAAAAAAGTGTAAGTGTAGACTTGAGGTAAACTAGCTAAACTATCAGTATTAATCTGCTTTAGTGTAATGCAGCTGCATCAGTGGGTTCTATACTTAATTTTTTTTTTCTTTTTCTAACTTTATGTTTGTTGTGTTTCTTTAGCTAGCGGGTCAGGCAAGTTTCTGGATACTCTAGATTAACTGTTCACTGGGCTCATTGGCTGCCGCTGGCATTGAGCCGTGTTTTGAGAATCGGCCTTATGTTTCCCAGTGAGCATCACTACTAGAGCTTCTGCTACTGTTAGTGCCTAATGAGTCAGCACTCCTGTCAGACAACAAGCCCATTGCGAGAGTGTCGACACACACACATATATATTCTCTATTACACATACAGGCAGGTGAACTCAGGAATCCAGTATATACTCTTAATTAAATAGAATAGATAGATTTAGAAACACAGAACTTGGCTCGTTGTCAATCTTTTGAGAAGCTAAAGGTTAAAAGTCATTTGTGTCCAAGCTAGTGATAGATTTTTTTTATTAGTTTTTGCAGATGTAAAGGAACAGTTTACCCAAAAATAAAAAGTCTTTCATCATTTACTGACTGTCATATAATTCCAAACCCGTACGACTGGCCTTCTTTAATGGAACAAAGAAAATTATTTTTTGATGAATATTCTCTCATTTTCACATAATAAAAGTGAATGAGGACTAGGGCTGTTACAAGACAAAAAAGCATTATAAAAGTGGTCATGTGAAGTCATACAATAACTTAGTGTGAGAAGCAGACCAAAACTAAGGTGTATTTCATTATTTCATAAATTATGATTATTTAATGATACGTTTCTCTGGAACTGTTAACTGCAAAATCATTGTTAGTTTTGAGAACCAGATCAGTACAATCTGTGAATGAATAATTCTTTTGAGTCAAATCTTTTCAGTAAATTGATTGTTCTAGTTTACGAACCGGTCTGAATGATTCATTCACAAATGAGACATTACCACTTTTCTGATGAACTCTAATAAACTCACAATATAAAGTTTTACGGTCAATAACAATTAAAAGCCTATCTGTATTACACATAAAGCTGTTGTATGGCTTCAGAAGATTTCAGAATATAGCACACAAAACATATGAAATCCTTTTATTGTACTTTTATGGTTCATTTTGGGGCTTGTTAGCTTTAGTCTTGTGTTCCTGTGGCTCAGTGGTAGAGCATTGCGTTAGCAGCGCAAAAGGCCATGGGTTCAATTCCCAGGGAACACACATACTGGTAAAAAATGTATAGCCTGAATGCACTGTAAGTCGCTTTGGATAAAAGCGTCTGCTAAATGCATAAATTATTAATTAAATTATAGTCCTCATTGATTTTAACTATATTTAAAAGAGTGACTAGGACATTAAACATTTGTGTTTCACAGAAGAAAAGTCATATGGCTCTGGAACTACATGAGGGTGAGTGATGACAGAATTATAAATTTTTGTGAACTATTCCTGTAATGCTTCAGTTTGAGCAGTACTGAAGGGTTTAGGGTTGTAGAGAGTCTGGATAAGTCTGCCATCATCTCATCTCTCTCCACTGTTTTGTACATTCTTTCATTTTTCCACCATTCGTTTTGCACTGTCTGTCTTTTATACATATTTATTCCTTACTGATTTTCTTGTCATATGTTAGTCCTCTTACCTGTTTTCTGTCACTGTGGGGGCTCTTAGCGTGTCTGTTTATATCTGTGTATTTCAATGTGTGCTGTATGTGTTTTAGGAGTTTTGTCTGCTCCCCTGCACATCACTACTTGAGGTAATGGTACTGCATAGGGCATGACTACTGCATCAGTACATGAATGGACGTGTTTTGATCATCTGTATGAAATTTACTTTTGGTACTTAAGTACTTTTAAAAGCAAGTACTTCTGTACTTTTACTTAAGTAAAAATCTGTCTTTACAACTTTCACTTGTAATGGAGTAATATTTGACCAGCAGTATTTGTACTTTCACTCAAGTAATAGAGTTGTGTACTTTGTCCGCCTCTGTGTATGACAAAAGACAAATACTCATCCTTGACGCGCCTCATAGTGTTTGACAATGTGGACTATAATCTTGCCCCTCATTCATAGATATATGTTGACGTTAACCTGTGATTTCATTTTTAACCTTTGGCCAGCTGTAAAAAAAAAATCATCCATCACATTTCCCTCTTTGTACTTAAAAGCTGTTGTAAGCTATTTTTGGTCGATACCACACTTAAAATTAAGAGTTTGATGAAGGATGTGTATAGTTTTTTTTAGCCAGAGAAAGTTAGCTAAGCCAGAGTGATTAGCTTAAAGTTAGCAATTCTGCTAACACTGTTTACAGCAGCTTATAGCACGTTGATAACATCCCAGTCTTTATTTTTGCTGAGTATGTTAATATTTAATAGAAAAGGGGAAATTTTGGAGCTGTGGCATAATGATTAGTACACATGCTCTGACTCATTGAGCTGTAGTGCTCATGCAAGTTTGAACATCCTGTTCCTCTCTTCCCCCCAAAGTTTACTGTGATCTCTCTGCTATCTGTTATTATTAACATGGCCAAAAGTCAAATAAACAGAAAAGGGAAATGAAGATCACACCTTGAGGTCCTGTCATACAGTAAAACCAGGGAGTTTGCACCACTTCGTCCTGCTTGTCCACAAGAGCTACAGTCTGACCTCAGGACTGTTTCACACCACAAGGCCTAGTTAGTGCTTTAGCAGTAAATAGTGTCTGAAAATCAGTCTCATCTCTCTCCCAGCCTCAGAGAGTGTTCTCTTTCCCATCACCTGTCTACACATTGCTGTATTTCACTCATCACTCCCTTGAACACGACCTGCCTGCTAGAGGTGTGCCCAGAATAGAGCAATGTGGAGAAAAGAGAAGTGTAGACGTGTCACTTTTCCCCAGCTGAATCTTTTCCTTACTTTTGTACTTTTTACAGCAATAACTGTCTTGATTCATGTTCTCTTCATGCTAACTAATTGGATAAGAAATAAGGTATAAGATTACATTGCCCAGAAGAGACACGATAGGATAAATATAGGAGACCTCTGTCATCATTTGTTCACACGCATGTCGTTCTAAATCCGAATGACATGGGGTGTGATTAAACAATGACAGAATTGATTTTGTGCGTGAACTGTTCCTTGTAAGGGAGCAATAGATATGAGGTCATTAGACCTGACAAATCGCTCTAAATGTCCTACACTTAGAGTAAAGGATGCATGGTTAAACTTCATGACCTAAATCATTGTTCACAAACGTTTGCAGGATGAGTAAAGCATGCCCATAACTAATCTTTGCAATCTGGCATCCATAAAGACCTTCTTTTTATTTATACAGTGGTTAGTTCCAGTCCTCAAATCTGCTTAAACTAACGCCGTTCCAAGAGCACTGACATGTAGTCCAGTAGCACTGGGACTTTTCACTGTTTGTATCTCTCCGCTGTGTTCAGTGTTAGACAGATCCTGCTTTGGCTTTGTTTAGAACTATTTTAGTTAGCAGAGCAAAAACAGACAAAATTTCCAGCAATATTATGTCAAAAATGTATATTATTTAATATTAACTTTCAATGTTGTAGTCGAGACCAACTCATTCATATCTAAATCAAGACCCAGACTAGAAGGGGATTGAGTCAGAGTCAAGACTGAGTTCACATACTCCAGAGTCCATGACAAGATCAAGGTCTTGGTCTTGGTTCTCATGTCTGAGTCCAAGAGCATACTTTCATGGTCTCGGTCTTGTCATGCGGACTCAGTCTTCTTTGGATCTCGGTTTTGACTCAAACTCAACCCTCTTCTGGTCTAGACTACAAAACTGTTAATTTGTGTGAATTTCAGCCATTCAAAATGAATTTTCAAATCGATAAGGATTTTTAAAATAACGCAAACAAGAAATCACCATCTAGAAAGGGGGTCTCGACATGGATGGAGACTAACGTCAACGCCATGCCTAAGTGTTTTTTTAATTGAATCTGTCTGAGGCTTACACATTTTTTACCTTAAATCTTCTCTTCACTAGTAAAGAACAGCAGCGTTCTCTAAAAATGATGTCCGTGTGGGAGCAGCGCACCACGCAGATTCGGAAGCACATACGGGCCAGCAGTGAGGCATTATACCAAGAAGAGCTCAACCCCCGGCTGACCTCTAACCTTCACCTCCGCCCTGACATGAAAACCCACCTGGACCGGCCTCTGGTGGTGGAACCTCGTTGTGATGGTCCCATCAGTCCCCACAGAGGCTGGGACAAACCCCAGGATTTGCAAGGGGAGGGCGGCACACTGGAGGAACGAGTCCCCCCTGTGATGGAGCCCCCACAGTCACACCCACCACGCAAGCACCACCGTCACAGGGAGCGTCCCTCCAATGAGACCAATGAAAATGGTGACACAGGTCATGGCAAAGAAGGCCGGCATCACGTCCATCACAGCCGCAGTAAGGAGCATGATGGGACACGGTGTAAGGAGGGGAAGAGTGACAGGAGCCGGAGCAGAGAGGGGGGCCGCAGACATCACCACCAGAGCTCAGTGGATGAGGGTGGTGGGGAGAGAGAACATCGTCACCATCACTCCCACAGGCATAACAGAGAGGGCAACGGAGTGGTCAGTGCTGGGGGGAAGAGCGAACAGCGGTCCAGGCAGAAGGATGGCTCACGTTCGGGAACAAGGGAGGGAGAGAGATGCTCCAGGGGCGAAAATGGAGGTAATGGAGGGAGGAGACAGCACAGACTACGTACCAGTAAAGCTCAGTCCACGCTGGAAGGAGAGGAGCAACAAGGGAATGAAGAGAAGGAGGAGGGCAAGTCGCACAGCCACAGGTAAAACTTTCTTCTCAAATATTTTTGAAAAGATGTTTATTTTTTATTTTTTATTATACTTTAGATTGAACAGCACATTTGTTCTCAAGTTCCCAAGAAAACTGAACCATGTTCCAGTAGCTACAAGACTGTTGACCTTATTCATATGAGCAGTGGTGGAGATGACTCCCTTAAATCCATTCAGCAAAAAGATTCATTGAGATTTGTTCATTGATTAATTCAGTGACTTTCTTTTTTCTTGGTCATTACACCCCAGTGGGTGGTGACCAGTGACTTTTTTATACTATAAGCATATTTATGTACTCATCAGATTTGTTCGCGAACATTTTAAGCCAAACATTTATTTACTTAATAAAATGTGCATATCAACATATCTATGACTCAAAAAGAGTGTTGTCAGTCAACACATCCTCATTCATGAATGAGATGCTTTCTTCATTTAGTTTGAGTCCTAGTTTGTTTCTGAGTCGGTTTGTTTCCCAGTGCCTTTCTGAGTCAATCCAAACTCAAAACACCAACACGTTCATTGAAGGGTCTATTTATTCAGTGGGTCCAACCAATAATATGCTCTGAAATATGAATCAGTGCACAGAATTGACAGTGAAGGATTTGTTCACTTAAAAGATTAGTTCAGAAACACAGAGACATTCATGACCAAAACACCAAAGTGTAACCTCATTTTGACTCACTGCTGCAGACACATGGACATGGGAGGAGATTCACTGGCTGTAAACCCCCATCAACCTTCAGTTGGGAACCGATGGTGTCTTGAGAAACCAGAAGACTCGGACAATAAACTAAATATTGGTCAGACTGGAGGAATGGGCACACACATACCTGTGACCGTCACATCTCCCCCTGGGGAAACAACCCTTATTCCCAGTTAGTATTTCTCATACTATACTATACATACTATAAGGTCACTGTGACCAATTTTTCACTCATTTTATACTCGCATTTGTGTGCCATTTTTTCAAGGGTGATAACATTGCTACTGGCAACAAGCCAGTGTTGGTCTAAAGCTTACAAATATTTAAATTCACACGTGACATCTGTTTGTCTTCTCAGTGAACAGTATAGACAGTGAGACGATGCCCATGACTGAGAAGAATCTGGAGGATCTGAACCAGAGCAGCCCTCGTCCCGTCCTTCCCTTCAGCTCCATGTTCATCTTCAGCCCAACCAATCCGTAAGTGTGTGTGTGGAAAATTCATGAGTCCCAGTGCTTTCAAAACCATGTGCATTTGAACATTTACCCCAGTGCAATGTAACAAATGCTGTTGTTAGAGCTAAACTTGCATTGAAGCTGAAGTATTCCTTCAACAATTTTTTTTGTTAGCTTGACAGTAGCTCACATTCAAAAAAGGCTTTCCAGACATAAGCTATTTTTTGTCGACAAGTATTGGTGTAGCATGGCACAGTTGAATGAGCATGTCAAGTACACCTTACCATAATATTCTTGCTTTCAAGTAGTGTTTCACAGTTTATTATCTACAGTAATTAAAAAAAAAATGTCTCGTAATGAAACGGAAGTAGTGACAGATCTTTTCTGTATTGTGACATACTTTCAAGTTATTACAAAAAATAAAAGCATTTAGGGCAGAGACTTGGTTCTATCCATTGGTTGTTGATTGGATGGAAGCAGACATGAAAGTGAGCTTAGAGTTAATTGTAAGAAGGGATGGGTTTAAGTGGACTAAACGATCAAAGAATTCTGGCATACATCACCAGAGAGATATCTGTTGTTTTAGTGATCCAGATCCAGGGCCGGATTATCCATAGACGGGATTGGGCGAGTGCCCTGGGGCAACAGCCAGTAAGGGGGCACCAAGTGATTAAGATAATAACTAGACCTTTAAAATATTTTTCATGTTTTGTATATATATTATTTTGCTGGAAGAGATGCAGATACAAAATAAACAGTTAGTGATACAATATATACAGAGAGAATATAAAATATATGCATATATAAAGAATTGCGATTGGGTCAGGTCCAGCCTGGTCTCATTAGTGTTTATATGTAGGTATTAATACGTAACATTTACAAGCACAAAATGTATGTTTTTGTACGTTTTTTTTATGCTAAAACGTACAATTTAGACGTATTTCAACGTTTAAAATGTACAAATCGCTACGTATTTTAGCTAAAAAACGTAAAATATTTACGTATCTTTTATATCATTAAGATATTCGATATATATATATAGATTATATAATTTTATCAATAAGCGATTTAAATTTTTAGACCCCTTAACCTACCCCCAAACCTAAACCTACCCATTTTATAGCAAATATAAAAGGATATAAAACGCAATTGACCGAAATATGCAGGAAATAACCATTTTAGTAATAATAGCATTAAAAATATTTTTATAGTCGCTAATCCAACTCCTACCTTTAAACCTAAACATAACTATTTCTGTACTGTATAAGAAAAACATGACAGACAGATAAATGTAATTATAATAATTTATTTATTGCAAAAATGTCAAAAGCAGTGACAGTCGGTGTGGGCTTTGCTGCTTACGGTCACTGGACTCGCTGCTTGGGATGGAGATGAAGATCGCCGAATAAAGGCTTGGATTTGGGTCTGTTCCGCGCAGTCGTATGGATTCGGAAGATTTGGATTACAGTGCACGAATAACATTTTTCATTTCGTAATTCTTGCGTTTTTGATGTATTTTATAGTTCTATTGTCAGTCACAGCATGTCGGAGAAAACGCCTTTTGTGGCCCATGGCAAACAAAGTAAGCATTACATGACAAGTAAAGGTTAAACGATTGCAGAAATATTATTTATTTTAAGGGTTTAAAGTGAAGTCCTGTTTAACATTATGTAGGCCTATTCTTGGAAACGAGCTGGCAGCAGAAATCACAGAACAGAACGAAATGTTATCATTTCATATTAAGTAAGCGAGTAAACAATTTAATAATGCAATTGAAAACATAAGGTCATTGATATGACAACTAAAAACAACAACAATAATAAAATTAATGGCGCGATTTCGATATTCATAAAGATTCATTTTTAGGTGTCGTCAAAACATCAGTTTTGTACGTTTAAATGCTGAAAATACGTAAGTATTTGTACATTTAGATGCTGAAAATACGTCAGTATTGTACGTTTTAGTGCCTGTAAAAACGTAAGTAAATGTACGTTTTGTACAAGTGTAGGGGGGCACTTTAAATGTGGTCACCCTAGGGCACTACACTGTGTTAATCCAGGCCTGTCCAGATCCATGTATTGACATTTTATTAAAAAAAAAAAAAAAAAACCTATTCAAAACAAATATTCAAAAAATGATACACATGAATGGATAAATCATTCACAATAAGAACAATCACATGCATTTAGAAAATAGATAGGGTGAATTTTCATTTCATGTCGACTTTAAAAGTAGCTTGATTGTCGTTTCTACTATAAATTATGATTACTTACTGTATGGTACAATTTTAAAGTAGCTTCCACAACACTGCTGGGTGTCGTTCTGAACATTCACATACAGCATTTGTAGATGGAGACTGGCAAACCACCAATGCTGTTATATCTGCAAACGTTTCTACTTATTACTTGTCTCAACCGTCACTAAGAATGGTTGTGAACTTTAATCGTGTGTGTTTAAGGTAAACACTTTAAGATCTTTAAGTCTGAAAGGCATCCAGTTCCATAAACCGCCACATAAAGCTGTGTATTAATGGGCAATTGCCAAATGCACTTGTCTGTCATGGTCCTGTTGGTGAAACAATATAGTAATACTTTTATTTTACTATATACTAATGCCACATGGGTGTTTTTTCACCTGACCGTGCCTACCAGACATGTCTGCTAAAATCTACACTATTACTGAATTAATTGTTGATCTCAGACCTTGCCTATGGCCTGCATGAAAATATTAACTATCGGTGATTAATTAAATGCATCTGTCTGAAGATTTAAAGTTATGTTTCGGTAACAGACTTCATTATGTAATTGTCTTCAGCCTCACTCTCATAGTGTGGGGTTTTTGTGTGTGTGTGTGTGTGTGTGTGTACAGGGTGAGGCGTCTGTGCCACTACATTGTGAGTCTGCGCTACTTTGAGATGTGTATCCTGGTGGTGATTGCCATGAGCAGTATAGCCCTGGCTGCGGAGGACCCAGTCCAAGCTAATGCCCCTCGTAACAATGTAAGTCACTCATATGTTTTGTCTGAGCTGGTCTGACTGTTCAAAGTCAGATTTTGTCAGTGTTTGACCTCATTTTCCTATGACTGATGAAAATCTGATGACCATTTTACTTTTCACTTCATAGGTCCTGAAGTATTTGGACTATGTCTTCACTGGTGTTTTCACTTTTGAGATGGTCATTAAGGTAATTTTATGGTAAATTACACTGTTTAATTGGATATCTCATAGAAGAAGTGATCCAGAATTCTTCTCATGACCAGAGATAAGGCTATTTGGTGACAGTCTCTCTATGTGAAGCCCATTGACCCATCTTAATATCAGGGATGTGCAAAATTATGTATTTTCATAAACGACTAGTCAGTAGTTTGTCTGAACAACTAGTCAACTACAGTAGTTGGTCTAATTAAGATCACATAGGACATGATCTTGGGTTCATAAATAGTTTCAGTACAGTAACTGACAGATTCTCACCAAAAAAATCTGCAAAATTTCTACAAGCTTTTATTGTACAAAACTGTCATATTCCTCACAATAAAAGTTAGTATTCTGTATAATAATGGGAACATTGCTCACAGCGAATGATATAAAGTCTGTCAGTAATTGTCTTGAAATTTATTGTAAAGGCAGTGAATTTGTTACAGAAATGGTGCTTTGATGGCTGTAGTGATGGTGTCAAGGTTTCAACCTCAATAATCTTTCATATTTATGCTTCTTCTTTGAAAAGATGGTGGATTTAGGTTTATTGCTGCATCCTGGTTCATACTTCAGGGATCTGTGGAATATTCTGGACTTCATTGTGGTCAGTGGTGCACTGGTGGCATTCACATTCTCGTAAGTTGCCTTTAATTTACAAATACCTAAACCCCATAAATTAGAACACTCTTAATTAAAATCTGTACTTAACCATGTTTGAAGTTTATTATTGATCTTGGCTTCAAACTAGTTCTTGCCCGTATACTCCTATTCTTTTTTTAAAAGGTTTTACTTTACACTCGTTCCCACAGCAAAACAGTCTTTGTCTGTCTTTGTTGTACACATTCAAGGCTGCAAACTCCCACTGATCTGTTATTTCCTTCCTGTCCTTCTCTCAGAGGTGTGGGTCAGTTGACATCACTTTATTGCACTTTTGAGAATGCAGTCTCTAAAAGAATGAGCGTGTGTGTGTCTGTGTCTGTGTCTGTGTGTGTGTGTATATTGTTTGGTCAGTATAAAAGTAATAGAAGTCTATGGAAAATCCCCACAATTCATGTAAAAAAGTGTGGGTGTGTGTGTGTGTGTCTGTGTGTGTGTGTGTGTGTGTGTGTGTGTGTGTGTGTGTGTGTGTGTGTGTGAAGGAACTAATAAAGGAGTTATCTGATACGATCAGCTGTTCGCTCATCTCCTGTGGTTTAATGGATGAGCCATTGCAACACTTTAGTATTGAGGAGATGTTATTAGCTGCTATTAGAAACACTTGCCAGTTCAACAGAAATAGAAAAGAGCTGTAATGTTAAGATTTTTAATTGCTATGGTGCTGGTGCAATATTGTGAGATCAGTGGCAGTGCTGACTTCACATGATACACCAGCCTCTCCACTGCCTGAGTAAGGCAAGCTGAACAGAGAGTGGGTGCAATACCTTGAAATACTGCTTCAGAATTGCAGGAGTATCTCAGAATGAAGGGGTCTCTCAGCTGTACTGACTAATCTGTCCTACTTCCTGTTTGTTTTTATGTTTGTTTCTGTGTTGTCATGTCAAAGACGTGTTAAATGTGAGTGTATTGATGTGCTGTCACTGATTTCCTCTCTTCCTCTGTTTCTCTCTGCCTGGAATCGCTTGAAAGGAGCTTCATGGGGTAACGCCTTAACTCTCCCTGTGTCTTTGTTTCTGTCTCTGTCTCTCTCTCTTTCACTGTTCGTCTTCTTGCCTGTCTCTGTGTGAGTCCAGTAATGCTTAGCCCATAGGCAAGTGTTAAAGCATGGGATCTTCTGCAGTGTTTCAGCCTCTCCATAATTCATCATTTGGCATCACTCACACATTTGCAGTCAGTGAGCTTGATCTTCTTCTCCATGCCATTTAATTCTCTGTTGTCATGGAGGGCAGACACTATCGATCTGTTTCATTTCCTCGAAACATTCCTACCATTCTCAGTAGGTCTTCAGTGCTTACTGAATATGGAGCATCCTGGACGATCCCTACAGTGACCTCAGACAGGATGATCAGTGCATGTGTCATATCATATCAAAGATGACCTGTTCAGTTGTGTTGGAGTGGCATATCAGGGCAAGTCTGGCTTTTTTTGCCCAGTAAATGCACCATTGTTCACTTTAAACATCACATCCATGCTCCATTGGTGGACATGAGAGAGCATGAACATATTTATTGTACATGCTTATCTTTCTGCATGTTTTCGGACTCACATGAGAGAGTGTGATGTACTGCAAACGTGACTGCTGTGATTGGCCAGATCTTTGAAAGTGCTCTTTAAAGCATAAAAGACAGTTATAACTAGAGATGCACTGATATTAAAATTCTATAATGACTAAATAAATTAAATACAAAACACCAAAAATTAACAGCATAAAAAATATATTTTTTTAAGGTATGATGTTATTCATTTAGATTTTAAAAAATAAGTTTTTAGCTAGCTTTTATTTAGCTTAAAGGGGTCATATGATGCAATTTCATTTTTTCCTTTCTCTTTGGAGTGTTACAAGCTCTTGGTGCATAAAGGAGATCTGTAAAGTTGCAAAGACTAAAGTCTCAAATCCAAAGAGATATTCTTTATAAAAGTTAAGACCTCGCTTTTCAGACCGATTAGTTTTGTAAAAATCGACGCGTTTCAGAAGGCGGGGCATACAGGAGAAACAATAATGTACAGTATGTGGAAAATAATGTGTTTTTTTAACTTTAAACCGCATAAACACATTTCATTACACCAAATACACAAAATAATGTTCTTTTTAGCAGCATCATATGACCCCTTTAAGATGGAATCCAACAGTGTTATTTAAAAAAATAAGGACGTTTAAGGATTAACTTGATTGTTAGATGACAGCAAAGGTAATTGTAATGTTAAAATTTGAAAAATTAGCATGTACAATTAAATATCAAATATCAACTCAGTTCAACTTTATTACTAGAGCACTTTCAAAAACCACAATGGGTACCAGAGTGCTGTACATAAAAGTAGTCAAATACATTAAGCTAAAAAACTACAAAAACACATATAATTTACAATACATTATTAAAAGCTAAGGAAAATAAATGAGTTTTTATAGCCCTCTGAAATGGCCCTAAGGTCAGCTGTCACCAAATAAGCTCTATCACCTTTACATTTCAGGCGCAATCAAGCAACCGTCAGACACAACTGATCATTTGAGCAAAGAGATGGAACGGTTGATATAAACTAATTAATTGATACCAAGATAACATGCATCCCTGGATATAACATTTCGCCCATATGTGACTGACCGAAATTAACACCTGTTCAATAAAGTATAATAGTAATGTTATACTTTTTAGGTTTATAGCCATTTGTTATTTTTATAGCCATCTTTCAACCATGCTTAAAGTTCATAAGCATGATATGAATCAAATCAGGACTGATCTATGGCAAGTCTTGGTATTCACTCCAGATCTTGATTGTGCTGGTTTTCAGATCCATCCTCAGATGTTCCCTCTCTGTCAAGTGTACCCCTCATCTCTCCTACAGCTGTCTCTGCAGACTCCATTCTCTTACAACCTTAAAAGAAATGAACGGCATTTGGAAGTGTCTGTTTCACCCACCATACAAAGCCTCTTCCTCCCTTTTGTCAATTTCCAAAACATTTGCCTGAAAAAGTCCCGCAATTTCCTGTTTCTCCTGCATACGGTCATCAAAGTCATTATGTCAAAAGAACGGTGCTCATAAAAGTCTTTTTCATTCTCACTGAAATGTTATGTGCAATGTTCTGAAAGGATGATGTGGTTTACTGTTAGTGCAGAGGTACTTTCTGTTGTCAGCATGTCATAATGTTTTGCCTTTTGCTTTGTGTTCTTCTCATTCATTAGATCACATCAAAGCGTAAACAGGTGGGGAACCCCTGATATTCTTTTTTCTCCTTGATAAATCTTCTCTGTTCCTCATTGTCCTGGGCTTACTGGGATTATGTCCTTTACTGTCACTACATATTAGTGGAGTGAGAGTATCTGTACAGGGTTGGAGCCTCTACAATAACACTGCTAGCCTTCAACAGCACCTCTAAATGATTGTTGATTGATGTTGTATTGATGTGAAAGAGCATTTCTCCACCATCATCGTTATCTGGGGTCCTGTGAAAGTTACCAGGGTGTCCAGTGGGACGTTATTGAGGTTCTTTATAGTTCGTAGTGGGTTTGGGGGATAAACATCAGGCCCTGTACAGTAAATGCATGCTAGACTAGTGTGCATCAGGGAGCATGGGTGGAGTTGCATGACCTTGTCGAGCCCTCTGATTGGGCCAGAAGAGTAACTTCACCATGCTGATTGGTGACAATGCTGTAAGGTCTCTGCTGATTGGCTGTTAGATTGGTGTTCATTGGATTTGTAGAAGAATGTATGAACTGTGCATGTGTGAGTAGACGTTGGCACTTTCTAGGGGTGAAGTTGAACCTTTGCTTATTATTGTAAATGCTAGAAATCTGCAAATGTTACTACCACCTGCTCTTGCACATGGAAAGATCTGTTGTAGTTGTAGGTCATTTCTTGTAGTAGGAAATATGTCTATGTGCAATAGAGGGGAATCACTGCTTGGGGATTTTTCTATTGTAAGCATTTTCACAATAATTTCTTGAAGTTATTTTCTGCTGAATCATTTGTCAGCAACAATCATACACCTGCCAAAGCAATGATTATTTCAACGCTTTATCGAAATAAGAGACCGTGAATAAATTAGATGCGATATGAACTGTCAGATATTCTGTTGTTCTCTCTTCCATTGCTGCACTGGAAGAACTAAACGGTACCTGCAAATAAATGCAAATGATAATGACCGGCTTACTGTACATTATCCCACTTATTACACGGCTGCTCTCCGAAATAAATACATGAAATATTTATTTGAGCTGAAATAATTTTACCTGTATGTTATTGTCACGATGTCACACACACGAGGGACGAGGAGATGCTGGAGAATGCTTTTAACAGGACTTTATTGGAACCAAGGGAGACGAACACAGGAAGACCTTCACCGGAAGAAGTACAACAGCGGACAGAGAACTAGGGACTGGGAACACTTTTTATACACACAGGAGGAGGGGCTGACGAGACACACCTGGGATCAATGGAAATTAAACATGGGAAACACCTGGGAAGAAATCAACTAAATCAGGACAGGAACAGGAAACAAACCAAATATGGGCACAGGAAGGCACATGGGGAGCAAGACACACACAAAACATGGAACAGAGTCTGACAGTTATCATGTTAAAACCTCTAAGCGAAAACGATTACAATTACATAATCCATTACAATGTATAAAACAAACAGCCGAGCAACGAGACAAACGCTTGAACGATATTACAGTAAAATTTGTACAGAAGTCATCCAGAGTCATTTTTACTGTAGTCAATAACTGAGACGCAATATGGCGTCAGTTGCATTTGCAGGCGGTGTGATACGAGAGGTGTAAAAGTGCAAAAGCCAATTTTATCGGATTTGTATACAGCGTTGACATGGGCGGCGGTATGAAATTTCTGGCCACGGAATGCCGTGATCGACCAATCAGAATTAAATATTCAAGAGAGCCGTGTAATAACTAGTTGTAATATAAGATAATTGGGAGAATGAATTGGCACATATAGTAATTTACCTGCACTTAATTTTTTCAGACATCCAACAAAACACATGCCCTGCATCAAAATAGGGGCTTAGTGAAGGTTATTTGAATGAATGTGATGTCTTACAAATAATATGACTCTGTTTGCACTTTGCCTGCATTAGATATAATGCAAAGGGCTTCAGTTATTTCATATGACCATGGAGTATTTCCTCATGATTCAGTTAACGACTATGCTTGTCCTTGCAGTTACTTCATTAAATGACATTGTTAGCTTGGCGGTTATGATTGAGCATTTAGGAGCTGAAGCATGACTGATTTCTGCTGAGGCCTGCTCTTTTCTTTAAGGGTGAAATAACTTGAAATACATTTTATTTAGCCGTCCTTTTTCTTTTCATGCTCTTCGTTTAATGAATACATGCACTGTATTCAAATCTATGCAGTCATTTCATCAAGGTGACACATTTGAAGCATGTCAGCGTGATAAAGACTTAAAAGCAAAACAGCATTGGTTCCTGAAAAGAAACAATGCCCTTTTTTAGGGCAGGTTTCTTTGTTATCATTGGTGTCGTGTTGTTGTTTTAGAATCTGATGCACAGCAGCGTTTGGGTAAAATTCATGTTCCCTTTCTTATTTGATGCACGAATAATATTAAAGTGTCATTCAACAACAAGCTAACAGTTCTGATAGAGCTCATTAATGCAGAGATATTAACTGTTTTACCTGCATGCAATAGAGATATATGTATTTCATACTCTGTCATCAAAGCATGTGCTTTTGTAAAATAACCAATCCATTGTTGGAGCAATTTCAAGCTATGACACTAAAAGATGCTCATTTATTAGAGAATTAGCTGTTGGTGTTTATTTAGTTTGTCTATAAAAAAGGTGAGTATGTTTAGTCTAGTGTCTCATTATTGACATTTTAATCAATGGAAACATTTTCATCACGTTTACTCACATTCTCATGTGTTTTGTCTGGATATGTATGAATCCTTTGATGAAGGCTGTCTACAGCATGTTTGATCCGGAATTTACTCACCCTTTGTTTATTTTGACTTGTGTAGAGGAACCAAGGGCAAAGACATCAGCACTATCAAGTCCCTGAGGGTGTTGCGAGTCTTGCGACCACTGAAGACCATTAAACGTCTACCGAAACTGAAGGTACACATTTGGTTGCAGTCCATCAATACAGCCGTCATGGTTAGGAAAGTATATATATATACTTTTAATATTTTGTGGAAACCATGAGGATTGTTTTTAGGATTTTTTGATCAATTAAAATTTGAAAAGAAGTAAAGAATTTTATTTGAAATAGAAATCAGTCAGGTTTATTGTAATTTTGTAACACGTTGCTGGGCTATAGACAAAAAAAAAAAAATTGTAAACACAGTAACCGTGTAAACAAAAACAAAATTTCTGTCTGTGAGTACTATTGAAATACACAATAGATATGGACAATAACTAAGACAAAGAAAGGATATAAACAAAAAATACATGAAAATGAATGTGGCTCATAAACTTTGAAATGAAAAATACATAACAGCAAATAGTTTTGTAGAAAAGGAACTATTTCTCTTCCACCTATCTGAAGACAAGAATAAATAAATTTTTAAATAAAAATGCATAAAGCATTCCGCTTTATGACAGTAGTTGATTGTTAATGAACCAGAGTGTATTTGTTTGTGTGTCTGCTCTCTCTCAGGCCGTGTTTGACTGCGTGGTGAACTCCCTGAAGAACGTGTTGAATATCCTCATTGTCTACATCCTGTTCATGTTCATCTTTGCTGTCATTGCTGTGCAGCTCTTCAAGGGCAAGTTTTTCTACTGCACAGACGAGTCCAAAGGCCTGGAGAAATACTGCAGGTAGAGTGGGATTAATACAGGAGCAGAGAGTAGGGGCTGATTATCTGCAGGCATACAGCAGTATTTTCCAAATCCATGCAAAAGTGAGTGGAGAAATGATGAAATAATGAGATAAGGTGTTGGGTCCCACAACTATGGAACGCTTGGTGATAGGTTTTTGAAACTATTAGGGCATTTTACAAACAAGCCATATAAAATATAAAAAAATAAAAATGTTAGGAAAATAATAAACATTTCTAGAGTGAATGTACATTTTTCTAATTATGTTCAGCTCTAAAATACTTCCCTTCTGCTCTTTTTCAATAATTTGTATAAAATTATTCTTTAAAGTCTTATAATAATAATAATTTTAAACTTCCAGGTGTACTGATAGCACCAGGTTCAATCTACTGTTGGCAGTGTTCTGTAAACACATATCCTGAATGGGTATATCTTTATATATGCTGTCTCTTTTTTTTTTTGCTTATTAGAGGGATGTTCTTGGATTATGATAAGGATGAAGTATCAGCCCAGCCCAGGGAGTGGAGGAAATATGAGTTCCACTACGACAATGTGCTGTGGGCGTTTCTCACTCTCTTCACTGTTTCTACTGGAGAGGGCTGGCCAACGTAAGTCAGCAGACATGTGAAATGGTCCCTAATGGGGTATATGTTAAACGTCACCTTACCAAACCAGAAAATAGGTCTCATCGCATCCGCTTGGTGGAGAAAGTGTTAATAGCAGTATGAAATTATGGTGGTCTCTATGGACTTTTAAGGTAATCAGTTAACCTAACTTAGTTGTTTTATTGTTGCCATTTTTTCAATTTTAATATCCAGCTGTTAGTGAGAAGAAGAAAAATAAAAAACCTTTTAGATATCAATCTGCATATGTGATGGTCATCAGTTATGATCATCTTTGGTATCTCCTTTGAAGGTATCTTGAGTATCTTGAAATCAGCTCTATATATAATGAATACAAAAGACCTGAACCAGAAGCAACGTGACCTGTATTACAGAATACAGAAGTTTGTTGTTCATATCCCCACTTACATTTATAACACAGATATTTTGCTTTATATACAGTTCAACCATTTGCTATTCAGTATGTTTTTGTGGGGATTAGAAACCTATAAGCTTCTGTCCCCTTCAAACACTTCCCTTGTGTCCTCTGACCCCTCAGTGGCCTTTTATTCTCTCACTTTAAAGGCCATAATCAGTTTGAAGTGGTGCTCTTTGAGGCCCTGTGATACTGGTAGTGCACAGCTCTCAGGAGGCAGACTAGGCAGACATTCATGAATCAGCGTCAGCCCCAACTCACAGCCAAACTCATGAATGCGCTGGAAAAGCCATTGTAATTGTCTGTGATGCATTTATTTATTGATTTATTTTATTGATTTATTGTATTTATTTAGTTGTTCACAAGCTTGTTGGGGTCAGTGTTCTGCATCTGCTGTGTAATTATGTTTCCTCACAGTGTTTGATTGTTCAATTAAATTATTTCAATGTATTTAGAAATTCAGCAATGCATGATATATAAAACTGCTTCAGTTTAAGACCTGTTGTCACACACTGGAGGAGCTCGCTTGCTTAATTTTCTTTAAAAAAATTATTACTTTGGCCACACAATAGAAATGACAGTTACATAAATCAAACCTGTTAAAGGTATCCATTCAAACTGTGATAATACTGTGATTTCATTGTCTTAGATCTAAGAACTTAAAGTAAACTCTTTCAAAGTCTTACAATATGGGTAAAATAAATTAATCTTCTTTCCCCCACAAGATGCTTTATTATGTTAAACTGTATAGGGTGTAATGGTGTAATGTTGTCTGTGCACAGGGTTTTGAAGCACTCTGTAGATGCCACTTTTGAGGACCAGGGTCCCAGTCCGGGCTACCGCATGGAGATGTCCATCTTCTACGTGGTCTACTTTGTGGTCTTCCCCTTCTTCTTCGTCAACATTTTCGTGGCCTTGATAATTATCACATTCCAGGAACAGGGCGATAAGGCCATGTCAGAGTGCAGTCTGGAGAAGAATGAGGTATAACTGAATAATGTATTTATATATAACATAATGTTTTCGTTGTTCAGTTGCAATTGGCAGGTGTGGTAAAAAGTATTTTTGTTTGGTATTTAACTTCATTAAAAATATGTATTTGGTATTTGACGTCATAAAAAAGAGATGGGCAATATTACAATTTTGTCTTAAAGTTTTCATATCACGTTCAGTTATATGGGAGAAAAAAATAAAGCAAAAAATTGTACTTTGTAATACGAGTCTACTGAAAGCCTGCGTTTTGAGAACCCAAGTGCAGTTTTATTATATCCCAAAAGTGAGCAGATAAACAATAAACACAGACATGGCATGGCTTGACTTGACTTGACTAGGCAAAACAAGAACATAGAAATGGACACAACTCACTAACAGTACTTACAGGAAACAAAACACAACAAACTAACATGGCAAACATGAGGGCTTAACCAATGAGAGCGTGACACATACAACAATGGAACCAATAGGTGTGTTCGACTTAACGTGGCGCTGCGCAGATAGATCGAAATCTGACTTGAAGCAGTGCATGCCAGTTAGAAATTGAAACAGATTCTGACTTGAAACAGTGCCGACGCCACGTCACGTCACTGTCATGTGTGGCATAAAAGCACCGCAAGAGCATTTCAGAGCGCTGATGACGACACAGCTGTTTAACGATTGGCGTGTGTTTCGGGTTTATTCCAGCATCGTCAATTCCAATATTGCTCACAAATCTGTTTTTACAACTATTATATTATATTAAATATAGAATAGACTATATTTTTTATAAAATATAAAAGTAGCATTTTTATATTATATATATATTATAATTAATTTTTTTATTTCCAAAAAATGTATTGTATAAAAAAAATAATATTTCCAAAAATACAGTTTGTTGGATAGTAAAAAAATAAATACAAATTTCTTAGATCACTCGCAGTGGACAAGTGTGGTAAAAAGTATTTAGACCCTGCAAGAATCTAAACAAAATCTCAACAAAAAGAAACCCACTTTTAGGCTGACATTAAGAGATACAGAGACCAACATTAATCATAGACAACATTAATCTTACAAACACTGGAGGGGTTTTTAGTGTTTAGTGATGTGTACAGTGTGTACAGTGTACAGTACCTACAGTGAAGCCAGCCATGGTAACAGCTGCAGATGTCCAGGTAGGGAATTGTGACAGGATTAATGCACGTGCCTGCGGCGGACCACACACGCACCTAAATACCCACTCAGAAACAGGTATACATTCATACGCTGACACACAGTGACTAAAGACACACACAGAGACAGCCAGCCCCATAAAAGAGCAGTCAGCAAGATGTTCCTGCCCTATTTCCTCTGAGGCCCCATTAGACGGGCCCAGTCGTCTGCAGAGCCTGTGCTGTTTCATTCTCTCCCTCTCCATATGCCAGCCTAACATGACTCACAAACTGTGGTGAAAACCCAGACCTCAGGAGAAGTCATTTATCATCAACATTCACAGCAACGCAGCCAAAAAATATCAGTGCCATTAGAGGTCTATTTTCTTGTTCCTCCACAGGTTAGACTGTCTTCCACAGTTGTCACTGCTCTTTGTATGATTCGTTTTGGTTATGCGAGAGAGAATGTGACTTCAGAAAGTCTTTTCTGAAAGATAAAGATGTATAACAGTGGTTGTGTGTGACTTAGAGGTCTTCAGGGGTCCACTCGATTTATTTTTTATCAAACTATCACGTTTATTTTTCAAATCCAATGGTCACAATTGAAAGCGGAGCTCAGAAATACCTTGCATCCATCAGGCAGGCACTAATATAAAGTAACCTAATAATAAATTGAATAAATGTTAAATAAATCAAAGTAATGGAGAAGTGGCCAAATCAGTCAACAGGACACCGGGATTTTTCCTGACTGACTGCAGGGTTGCAGGCTGTACACACGTCAATGCCGTTTACGTTTGGGTCCAGTCGGGTTCGAAAATAAATGCTGTCGTGTTAGACTCGGGTCTAATTTTATCGGGTCTGTCTCGGGTCGGGTTTTTCTTTTAAAAAAATGAATTTATGCACATCGGGTTCGGGTAAGAAGTGATTCGGGTCGGGTACAGATTTTAGGACCCGAGAAGACCTCTAGTGTGACTGTTGTGTGAATTAATTCCTCTTTTGCTGTTTTTCCTCTCAGAGAGCCTGCATTGACTTTGCTATCAATGCCAAACCGTTGACCCGCTATATGCCACAGAACCAGCAGTCCTTTCAGTACCGCTTGTGGAAGTTTGTGGTTTCTCCACCGTTTGAGTACTCCATCATGATCATGATTGCTCTCAACACTGTGGTGCTCATGATGAAGGTCAGTCAGCCATTTTTCTTTTAGTAGCAGTCCTTGGAGAGTTGACAGCTATCAAAGTTTCATAAATTTTTCACGTTTTTTTATACTCAAGTATGCATTAAATTGATCAAAAGTGAGAGTAAAAGACATTTATAATGTTACGAAAGATTTACATTTCAAATAAATGCTGTTTTTTTTAAACTTTTGATTCATCAAAGAATCCTGAAAAAATGTCACATTTACCACAAAAATATTAAGCAACATTCAACATTGATAATAATAAGAAATGTTTCTTCAGCAATAAATCAACGTATTAGTTTTCTGAAGAATCATGTGACACTGAATACTGTTGTCATGGTTGCTGAAAATTCAGCTTTGCCAGCACAGGAATAAATTGCATTTTTAAATATATAAAAATAGAATTTATTTAAATATTTTATTTTTGCTGCTGACTTCCACTGGTTTTATTCCCATTTGTAAAAATCGTGCAATTTGTTGTAACAAAATGATGCTCAAATAAATAAAATATTTCCCTTCTTACACCTGCAGTTCCATGGGGCTCCTGACTTTTATGAAGCAATGCTCAAGTATCTCAACATTGTTTTCACTGCTCTCTTTTCAATGGAGTGTATTCTCAAGATTATTGCTTTCGGCCCCTTGGTGAGTATCGTCACTTATACCCTCAAAAACATTCATCTTGGTCGAAAAAGAGCTGCACTCAAAAGCTATCTTCAAGGAACAGTTCACCCAAAAATGAACAGCTTTTGAGGAACAAATTTACTGGAAAATCTTTATAGCTGTCCACTTCCACTATCTTCCACTTTCATTGTGTGGAAAAGAGCAGCTTAGACATTCTGCCAAACATCTCTTTTTGTGTTCCACAGAAGGTCACAGGTTTGGAACAACATGAAGGCTAGTAAATGATGACAGCAAATGATGATTTTTGGGTGAACTAATTCTTTAATGCACAGTAAAAAAAAAAAATCCTGCGATAGAGTGTGAAATTGTAAGCCTCTCCAACCTGTCCCTGAATGATCTCTCTAATTCTTTTCTTCTCAGAATTACCTGAAAGACGCCTGGAATGTGTTTGACTTTGTGACTGTGCTGGGCAGCATCACTGACATCTTAGTTACTGAGATTAACGTAAGTGAGCAGCACTGAGCTCTGTGTTTGAGCTCTATTAGAGGAGAGTCTTAGAGCAAGACCGAGTGTAATACCAGACAGCAGAGATAGGCTGAGAAGAAAAGCCCAGACATGAATGATGATGAGCTGGAGACCCATCACAGCTTTGTCTCTGGTTCAGGAAAAGAAGGGAGAGAGCTCTGTTGTTTTTCCAGATGAAATGACAATAGAGTAACCAAATTCATTTGGTGAAGCTCACTTTGACCAAATCACTAGTTTGTGGCTCTAATTTGTGCTTTATGATGTGCACAAGTCTTATGTTGTATTATACTGTATGTCTTGACGTCCATGTCATTGTCAAAAGTTGCTACTGATGGTAATTGTGTTTGTTCTGTAACTATATTTGTGCTTGATGGCTGTTCTTGTTCTCCTGTGTTCCTTAAATGTCTTCACTCAAATCTTGGCTTGCTCCTGCCACAATTTAACATCTTCATGTCAGACTACGGTGAGTTGCTCTCTTGTCTTTGAACTTATGTCTATTCCACCCTGCTGGGAATGAAAGAACTTCCTATTGTAGCACACCATAAGGTTCTTCTTTACTGAAGATAATGCAACATCATTTTTACAATCACCCCATGTTTTTCAGTTGACTATGTGGTAAATAGGTCTGGTTTGAAGTCATTAGGCTTCACTAATGCTTATCATGCATTGACATCCTTGTTGGTCCAACCAATCAACCAATCATATTTTTGTCTGGATTGGCAGCATTGTTGTTCCAGGACCAACAAAAGATACTGATCCAAGAGTACATCCTACTTGACAATTTTTCACAAAGAATTTTTCACACTGAATCCAGAGTAGAAATTTCTGGAAAAGTCTGGATGTCTTAATGCAAGGATTCTCAAACTTTTTTTGTCAGCCAAATCTCTTTGACCTAAAATATTTACTTTAAGTACTTCCTGAGATTTTAAGTTAATATTTCAATAAATTAACAACACATTTGTATATTCATGTTTCTCTGATGTAAAAAAATCAACTTAACCTCATAATAAAAAAACTACAGATAAATGCAGTCTAATATTTCAGGATCAGTGTGACAGGATTCGAGAAGTGGTCTCATCGAGATTAAGGTCTTATAAAATACTGTCATACATGTTTTTTAGGATCTGAAAATACAAACTTGATGTTATAAAGAGATATGAGGGTTGAAGTAAAGAGTGCTGAATGATTACATGAGGAGAAAGGAACTTTTAAATTGACAAAGCCTGTGTTCCCACAGGACCGTCTGCTGAACTTGAGTTTCCTGAGGCTCTTCAGAGCAGCCAGACTCGTCAAACTCCTCCGGCAGGGATACACCATTCGCATCCTGCTCTGGACATTCGTCCAATCTTTTAAGGTAACTCTATTTAGACTGATTTGTTAATCATTGTTGGAGTTTTTTTTTTTTTAAAGAAGTTACGATTTCTTCATGTTTTTTCATTTCCAGGCACTGCCTTATGTTTGCCTCCTAATTGCCATGCTGTTTTTCATCTACGCCATCATTGGAATGCAGGTATATAGAATTTATGTGCTTCAGTGATGGTATTTTCCAGTAAAAGATCATTACAATACTCCTGTGTATTTTATTATAGGTGAATTAAAATATAGAAATGGTATTCTGTCTGAAGGTTGTTTAATGTAACTGTTTCAAAATACATGCATTTAAAGTAACATTGTGATTGCAGGTGTTTGGGAACATTGAGTTGAGTGATGATACCGCCATAAATCGCCACAACAACTTTCGCACTTTCCTCCAAGCGCTTATGCTGTTGTTCAGGTCTGCACACACCTGCTATTCTTTCCCCGGTTTCACAGACAAGGCTTAAGCCTAGTCCTAGACTAAAATGTAAGTCTGAGCTGTTTCAACTGAAAGAAACTTGCACTGACTGATCTTAAAATATATCAGTGCCTTTGTTTTGTCTCAAAAAGCACACCAGTAATGTTTTTTTAAGCACATTTATAAAAATTACTAAAATTTCCTAATTGAACTATGGCCTAATCCTGGCTTAGTCTAAGCCCAGTCTGTGAAACCGGGCCTTTATCTACTACAATCGAAGCCACCTGAGAATGCAGGAAATCTTAATGAAGCTTCTGGGGTTGTATAATGGAATCTAAAGTCTAAAGGTCTGACAAATTATGATGGAGATTAGAGAGGATTCTACAGTTAGAATGTTTCTGTAATATGGCCCCTAAATGCTATATTTAGCCAGATCACTATATGTAGACTGTGATTGATATCAACTTTAATAGCGCACATTTGTCTAATGCAATTAGGATTTTATGGAGAACTGTATTTATAATTGATCAAGATCTTTCATAGTCAGAAAATATTACTGTATAAAGTATTAAAATATAGGCCTAACTACAGCTAACCTATTCTGATCTCAAACTGTAGAGCTGCTAAAGATTTCAGTTGCGCACTGTAAGATTATTTATCTGTCTGTCTGTCTAATAGTCTGCATCGCTCTGTTGTGCTCCTTCTCTCTCTGGTCTCCCCTTTTGGTCAGATTGAATTTTAAAGTACCATCTGGAGTATCAGCCATATTGCTAGAAAAACAACATCTCCTAATGAAATTCATAAATAAATTTCCATCTTTCCCTTATGTTCATTACCTCAAAGCTTCCTTTGAGCTGAGAGCCATGAGCAGGCAGCATGTCAGTGTGACAACAGTGTTATAACTGAAATCTGGCTCAACAGTAATTTAAATATCAGCACTTTTCCCATCATCTCCAGTCTCTGTTATATTCTCTGACAGTCATTCCTGCTTTTAATAGCAGCTGCCGCATTTATTTAATCAGCTCATCATCATGTCTCTTGCAGGAGTGCTACTGGTGAAGCCTGGCATGAGATTATGCTGTCCTGTCTGAGTGAGCGCACATGTGATGCGAGCTCGGGCATTCATGGAAAGGAGTGCGGGAGTGACTTTGCCTACTTCTACTTTGTCTCCTTCATTTTCCTCTGTTCTTTCCTGGTTAGTGCTGAGTCGGACCAGCCAAAACAGGCTTATCATTACTGTAGAATAGTGGTTTTCAATCCTGAACCTGGGGACCCACTGCTCTGCACATTTTGTGTCTCCCTTATTTAACACACCTGATTCAGATTATCAGCTTGTTAGGAGAGAGCTCCATCAGAGATTGTCTTAATATAGGGAGATGAGAGGGTCTGTATTAATTTCTATTGGAGAAAGTGTAACGGTCAACTTGAATCACGTGTGCCTTAATAACCAATCACATTATAGCCTTGACGTCATTGAATTTCAGTCAGAGTTGTGCGACACTCAATAGCTGTTTATGGATACCATAGGAATGAATGAGAAATGCCGTAAGCTGTATTCCACCTGTCGCAAAAAGTCAGTGACTTCTCTTATAAAACGACATTTTTTTTCGGTGTAAACTCTAAAAATAGTTAAATCCAAAAGTATTGCTTAGTGTAAAACATGTTGGAGATTAGCTGATAGGCTGTCGATTCATTAAATTATAAGCTGTTTTCTCTAAAAAGCTGTTTATTCAGCGTTGTGAAGCCTCTCCTCCATTGACATCAAATTAAAAAAAAAAAGGCCTCTGGTCTCCTTTCCTGCGTATACTGCCAAAGCGGAAGCGTTAGCATTAGCCGTAACGCTTTTTTGGCTAAAGGTTGCAGGCTTGCCTTCTAGTGGCTTTTGCTCCATGAACTGAACTGAGTGTGTCAGATAAGAGAGACATACAAAATGTGCAGAGCGGTGAGTCCCCAGGACCAGGATTGAAAACCATTGCTGTAGCATGCCATTACATCCTACTGCCACAAAACTGCTTGTTTATCTTAAATCTAAAAACCTGTCTGAACGTGACGCTGAAATATTCCATTGTGTTTGGAATAGGGCTTGGTATTGATGCAGATTTCCTGATTCGATTTGATTCTGATTTACAAGCATTCATTTGATTCCGATTCAATATGCTTTAATTTAATTGCAATTCATTGGGCATTTTTCAGTTAGTCAGTCAGTCACATTTATTTATGAAGCACATTTAAAAATAACAGCTGTTGGCCAAAGTGCTGTAAAAGTTTTAAACAGGCAACAAGGCTGAAACACAAAATATGAAACACAAACGCAATGCGCAATAAAATGCCACTATATCTGCTTATGTGCAAAAATTACAAAATTGTCTCTTCTAATGCTGTAAATTATACAGGGCAGTGTTTCATCACACTACACTTTTGTTCCAAAGACTTCCATTCATATGCATGGGAATGCTGAAGACCGGAAGCACAAAGTCATAAGAAGTTTGAAAAAAAATTGTGTGGAGTCTAAAAATTCATTTTTAAAATATTAATTAAAAGAACCAGCTCATAAGAGAATTTGGTTCAGTAATGGCTTTAATTCACCAGAAAGAATCAGTTTATGGGAGTAATTTGACTGTGAATCGGACTGCATTGGTCATGGTTGTATGATATTTTTGCATGCAGCCCACCCAAACAACTCAATAGAAAGACATTTTTTGTGGTATATAGTCTTCACATTTAATGTGAAGTCACATTTAATACAGACTGCAAACTCACATTTACGGCTGAGGTAAAATATTTTATTGATTGTAATTATTTGTTTGCCATTGCACTGGAGATGCAAAAGCCGTTCACTGTTTTTCGGACTCTGATTAATCAGAAAATCTATATTTTTACTAGTGCTGTCAAGCCATTAATCGCGATTAATCGCATCCAAAATAAAAGTTTTTGTTTACATAATAAATGTGTGTGTACTGTGTATATTTATTATGTATATATAAACACACACACATGCATGTATATACTTTGAAAATATTTACATGTATTTACATGCATATATGTATATTCATATAATTTATATTATTTCTAAATATATTTAATATATAAACATAACATATTTTTTCTTAAATATATACATGCATGTGTGTGTATTTATATATACATAATAAATATGCACAGTACACACACATATATTTTGTAAACCAAAACTTTTATTTTGAATGCGATTAATCGCGATTAATCGTTTGACAGCACATATTTTTACCCAACCCTAATTTGCAATTAATGTCATACTCTCAGATATTTTCAGAGTGTTTTTCCTGCTCCGTGATCTTCAGATTCTTTTCTCCCACCACTTTTTTTCCAGATGTTGAACCTGTTTGTGGCTGTCATTATGGACAACTTTGAATATCTGACACGTGATTCCTCCATCTTGGGCCCTCACCACCTGGATGAGTTTATCCGAGTGTGGGCAGAGTATGACCCAGCCGCATGGTATGTTTCAGTCTGCACTCCCTCACCAGATGGAGACCTACTCTTGTGATAAATATAGTAACTGAGTTTGGCAACAGTTGAGAGAAGGAGAGTCATTCTGTTAGGACTCAAAGGCCTTCTCAGGTTAGACCACATAAATAAAAGAGAGAAATGCAGAATATTCCCTATGATAATGTGTGACTGAAGATCTCCCACACAATGCCCATAAGAATCGTGGTCTGGATGTGAATGGGATCTTGTACTCCTATCTGCGTCCATTCAGTCCACAACACAAATGTGCTCTCCAAGCTTTCTTCATGTATGTCATGTTTTGCTTGTTCTTTCCGCAGCGGACGGATTTCCTATAAGGATATGTACAATTTGTTGAGAATTATCTCGCCCCCCCTTGGCTTAGGGAAGAACTGCCCTAATAGGGTAGCATACAAGGTTTGCAACCCAAGCAACTTCTTCCACATGTGTGGCCTCTGTGTACAAACGCCCAGAGACCCAAACTTGAATGGCTGTGCTCAAATGACTTGCCTACACACAAGCACTTGCCCCACCAGATTTGACTGGCTTTGGTTAATGATGCTGAATGGCAAACAAAGCTTTCAAGGCCACATAACAATCTAAACCCTCCTTTTATGACTCTTACATACAGTTTTCATATTCACAATTCAGGGTTTTGGCACTAAACTAATGTTACAATATCAAGCAAAATTGTTGTTTTACATTTATAGCTCAACCTCATAGCTGTTATTTGCATAAACTGTTCAAATGAAATAGAACAGAACAGAAACTGGCATTGAAACCTTTGTTTCCGTGCACTGAAAGAGAAAACTCCCCCGATGTCTCAGCATGCAGATGCAGACATCTTCCAAACAATGCAGCCATTCTGTCACCATCCACTCCTCGTGTCATCTCACTCACCTCTTCCATCTCTCCTTATCAGGGATCAACTCTCTCACCTCTGACCTCTAACCTTTGGGATCCATCTCTGACCCTGCCTGGCCAGGATGGCATCCCTGTTCATGACACTCTTGGAAATCTAATTAACAAAAGATTTCTGTTTTTTGTCGTCTGTTGTTTGTTTTTGTCTTTTTTTTTCATTTCGTCTTGATCTGATTACTTTCTGCCCCCCTTGTTTCTCTTCCCGTCTCTCTAACCCCCCATCCTTTTCTTTATTTTGGGTTATTTGCGTTGTCTGCACTATGAAGTGGCCGTATCAAGTACCTCGATATGTATGAGATGCTGCTCCACATGTCCCCACCTTTAGGTTTGTGAAAGAAATGCCCTCCACGAATCGCCTACAAGGTAGCTCAACTTCACATGCCCCCCCTCTCTCTGCTCGTACTGTCTTCCCATTGGCTTATTCTTCAGCCAATCTCTGTGCTCTTGCAGTGTTTCCCCTCGTGTTTTTTTAACTGTTTTTTTTTCTCCCCACGCTCTGATCTTTTTGGTGTAATCCCTCCCCCTCTCCTTTTTATTCGAGTCTTCCCCTCCACTTCTTTTGTAATCTAGGGATGGTCACAGACTAATGATGAGTATGACTGCAGAACTTTAGTGTATTTAATGTTTAACTACAAACCAGACTCATTGGAAATACATGCCTATTTCGACATTTCAGCAAAACAATGTTACGTTTCTTCTTGCACGTTTTGTTACACTATCAAAATGAAATGTCCAGTGAGTGAAAATAAAGCACATTCAGTTTTATGCGAAACAGATGAATATGAATCTGACAGTGCTTTATTACATTGCTTGTTGTACATATTGCAGCAGTTAGAAAATAAAATGTCTGATGAGTGGTGCTAAAATCACATTTGAAAACAACGTACCACCTATGCTATACCCTACCGTAAACCTGACCGATAATGTTAAATAAGCAAGTGTGATATAACACATTTGCTGAAGCAACCATGCCATTTTAGCTTGCTTCTGCAAGTCTATGAGCTCATTTCTTATGACTCATATTTCACGGGACTTGTACACGAGCGCTCCATATCGAAAATGGAACACTGTACCAGGTGAGCTAGTGAGCAAGTTTACTACATCAAAAAGCCATGCACATGGAGCTGGATATGTTATGTAAACATCAAAATGTATTAGTCTACAAATCATGCATTATGATAAAAGATTTTTGAGGTCATGACAGGGTACTGTGCAAGGAACTGCACAAAAATAAGTCTTTATTGATCGATAACCTGCCCCATAAAAGTTGTTTTACTGCCTCTAGTGAATTGTTTGTATATTCATTAGGTACATTTTTGGGAGTTTTGCAAAAATTTAGGTAGAAGCATGTATTTTCATTGAGCCTATGTTTAATTATAATGATAATAAGTGAGACTTAAATCTCAATTTTTATCTATGGTCATACTTCATGTGTATAAAATGTTCCCCATAAGTTGCATTGTGTAAGGGTTTGTGCACGACATTGTAAAAGTGATTTTCTGTACCAATCATATGCACTGAAAATGCAAAATAATTTATGTAATCTCAGTTTACATAAAAATGTGCCCAATTGCTCTTTTTGCGGATTTCCATGTCTTCCATTGGGATTCACTTAAGGGCCCCAAATTTAGCTCAAAAACCTCTTTTAGAGCCTTTATGTTATGTTAGAATAGGAACGGTCCCCCCTCACCCTTGTTTCATGGAGCAGTGCGTGTAACCTAAGTTGTTTTCAGTCATGAGAACTTTGCACTTGACCTCTCTCTTCCTATCTTGGCGGACTTTCGCTTATTCTCCTTGTCTTGCTTATGCTGTCTATCTCTCATCCACTCGACCATTTCCTCTCTCTTTTCTTTGTCCAGTAGCCTTCTCTCTCAGTCTCTATGTCTGCAGTATGTGAGAATGTATGTCTGTGTGTGAGAATGTCAACCTGTTTTTTTTCTTTGTTCATTCTGATCTGTTTCTCTTGCACTGCTACTGCTAGTAGATGTATGGTCTCTTTGCTCAGGGGAGCTCAACTCTTCACAATGAATCACACTAAACCATACTGTATGCCCGTACATCCCATGATACAATCGAGTTGTCATGTTTAATGGTGCGCTCGGTTATTTCCCTCTTAGAAAGTTTTAACCATACAGAAATTAATAGAAAAATATGTAAAATCATGTGCAGTCACTCTAATAAAAAATGTTTTATTTTACATAGAGTGGGTCGCCTTGTGAGGGCGGCCATTTTGAGATCACATGACTAGCCAAATAATGCTTATTTTTTATCTCTGTAACTCTCCTATTATTGGAGACTGCTTTTCACAGAATAAAATAATCATGACTGACTGCTAATAGAGCATTTCTACGAATGCATTGTAACAGATTTTTTTATGCTACATCCACACCACTGGGTGTCAGTATACAGTAACTCCAAAAAAATTGAGTGCACCTTTAAAGGTGAAGTGTGTAATTTTTGAGACTCAAATGACTCAATTACACAATTGACCTTCTAAACATGATTTTAAGTATTTTTACAAAGCTGTTGTCAGAATGATTCAGCTGAAAGTAGCTGGTGTGTTTAGCATTGTTTCAGCTCTAAAAAGCCACAACTGGTCACCATTTGAAACTCTTAAATCTAAAAGCAGCTATCTGCTGCACTTTTATTGATCAGTAATTCCCAGAGTCGAGCTCCCATGTCCTCTGAAGCCTCTCATAATTATGTGTACATGCTTTTCTCCACTCTCAAGTCGGTGTTGGTTTATCACCAGTGCACTTTGGTTGCGGATTGTAGCCTATAGCAGTGAATGTGAATGTTCGATTCTGTACATTTCTATTCTGTATGTGAACAAAACTGTTTGTGTGCTTGAAATGATAAGATTAGAACAGGATTCTACATTACTGAATGACCAAACTGATCCAAAATATATATTGCATGATTGCTAGAATGCATGAATTGAATCAATAGAAGGATATGAAATAATCATGTCTAATCTCAGAAGCACACAAACTGTTTTGTTTGTGAGTTTTTGGGTTGTTCTGGTTGATGCTGATTTTGAGAAGTGTTTTTACCCCACTAATGAACCTCATGGCTTCCCCTAGCGGCTGGTGAAAATGAACATGCCCATTGCAGATGACAACAGTGTGCACTTCACCTCTACTTTGATGGCTCTGATCCGCACTGCCCTAGAGATCAAACTGGCATCAGGTCAGTCTGGTGCCTTTTTTATTGTCTAAATGATTGCATAATTACTGTATAGATTAGCATCTAGATAATTGTTCCACCTTCCCTCTCTCTTAAAAGAATCCATCTTTCTCTTTTCCAAATAACTCCAAATGTGATTAGTGCCTAATGGAGAGATTAATCACTTATTCAGTGTGATCTGTTCCGTTAGCATCTGTTGTATCTCTCTGAGTGTTTGGCACTGGGTGGGTTTTTCTAGCTTCATTTTCACAGTTTTGCCTTGCGATGTATTGATCTAAATTCACTGAACTTAAATAATTTATTATTATTATTATTATTATTAATTTATTTTTATTTTTGTTACAGGGGATTAAAATAGTTTTTCTAGCTTCGCTAAATTCCTTTACTCCAACTGTGTTTTGTCTTTCAATGCATTGATCTTAATTCACATTATAATAACACACAGGAGATAAAAAGAGAAGTGTTGACATTTTTTAAATATTTATGAAACAACAAAATAATTAGACTGAACTGAACTGTATATATAAGATATAGTCTAATTAGCCTCTTTCCTCTCTGTTCATAATCTCTCCACAGGCATGGTGGCCCAACGTCTGTCAGACGCTGAACTGAAGAAGGAGCTCACTACAGTCTGGCCAAACCTGTCTCATAAGACTATGGACCTGCTGGTCACTCCACACAAACGTAAACACATTATGAATCATCACCCAGGAGATCCTTTCTTTTGCCACATATGTACTCTCAAATACTTGCATCCACATATTACAAAACTAACACTGAAGTACAGACACACACTTACGAATTATCTAAGCCAGGGGTGTCAAACTCAGTTCCTGGAGGGCCACAGCCCTGCAGAGTTTAGATTCAACCCTAATTAAACACACCTGATCCAACTAATCAAGTCCTTCAGGCTTATTTGAAAACTACATGGTATGTGTGTTGGAGCAGGTTTGGAACTAAACTGCAGAGCTGTGGCCCTCTAGGAACTGAGTTTGACACCTCTGATCTAAACAGAACTCAAAGTATTTTCACATGTGCAAACATCTCCAAACACAATACACAGCGACATCTAGTGGTCACCAGTGGAACATCCAAACAACACATAACTAAGATGCATTTGTCTCTTTGCAGCCAATGAGCTTACAGTGGGGAAGGTATATGCGGCTCTTATGATTTTTGACTATTACAAGCAAAACAGAGCCAAAAGACTTCAAATGCAGCAACAGCAGCAGAGAGAACAGGCAGGACTTGGATCTCAGGTGATACATATACAGTATATACTTACACTACTAGTCAAATTGTTGTGCTATTTTGCACATTTTTGCACAATAACAAATAGATGTACAATGAAAATTCTATTGTGAAAATAGCAAACCATTAAATCTTGTCTAAACTATTTATGTAGAGGTTTTGTAAATAAAAATGTATGTAATAATATGTAATAACATAAAATGTGATAAATTTGCCTATACTAATTTCAAATGAAAGCCTTTACATCATTTTATGAAGGATCATAAAAAAATCAAATTAATCTACCAACTGGTAGTGAATATGTGTTTTGATTCTCTCTGTTTGAAGAATAAAGTCAGTGCTCTTTTAGAGCCTATTCTCCCACTAACCCACATGCAAGATCAGGCCATGCACAGTGTAGATTCAGCCTCAGAGTTTCAAGCTCAGACCAGACCCAGCTCCACCATGCTCAACAACGGACGCACACAGTGAGCACAAAATCCCTGCTGCATTCATATTCAGTACACACTTGAATGAATCTCTTTGCCATGACAAGTGTATCTACTCTAATATGTTTTGTTAAATTTCATGCCCAGTCTTGACAACACAATAAAAGGATCTTCATCCTGGGCCTCAGAGAAGTCCAAGGAGGTGCAGCGGTCTAAACGGCGGCCAATGTCCAGAGGTCAATCAGAGGATGCCTCAAATGCGAACACTGCCCAGGTGCTGTAAATAAAAATGCAGACTCTCTCTGACACACACAGGCTGCGTCCGAAAGCCTAGGCAGCTGACTTGCTACTTTATCAAGCAATGACTTTGCAGGTAGCGTTTTTGCACGAAGGTACCTCATGAAACTGATTTCGGACATGCTTCTGAGGCAGCATAACAGTTTAATGATCTACAACAAAATCGATTGAGTTTTGGTGATAACTAAACGAATATTTAATTACTATAATGATTTCTCGCTAGAACTAACATCAAATGTGCAAAAAGTTAGTCAGAAATATACATTTACACACAAACTGACCACCAAACTCAACTTTCAGACACCAATTTTATTTTTTAGCTCAACCATCACGGAATGGAACGCACAGGATTGTGGGATATCAAAGGCAGCGAAGGATACATCTACAGTATGCTGCCTTTAAAAATCGATCAGATGAAGGTATCATCTGGAATGATACAGGAAGTGAAACTAACTTTGGATTCGGACATGCCTTGATGCCATCCTATCTTGGAATGCGTCCTCCAAAGGCAGCATTTTAGAGCTTTTGGACGCAGCAACAGTGTCTTTCTTTAATGCAGGGGTGTCCAAACTCGGTCCTGGAGAGCCAATGTCCTTCAGAGTTTAGCTCCATCCCCAATTAAACACACCTGAACCAGCTAATCAAGGTATTACTAGGCATACTAGACACTTTCAGGCAGGTGTGTTGAGGAAAGTTGAAGCTAAACTCCACTGTCTAAACTAAGACAGTGGCCCTCCAGGACCGAGTTTGGACACCCCTTATGTGTATTTAATCTCTTATTGTGTGTTTTTAATAGGAATCAGTAGAAATGAGGAAGATGGAGAACAGTGCCAACACAGTGACCTCTGGCGGCTTTGAAGGCCAAGGACGTGCAGTATCCATGCCAAAACTCAACGCAGAGATGCAGGTATTCTATTGGAACAATGTTCTGCAGTCAAACTTTTCTGTGAAAAATTCTACACATATATATAAAAATATATGCAAGTCAGTCAATACAAATGCATGTGCAAGACTTCAGATTCATCCGCTATAGGTAAATAACTAGAAGAATAACTAAGTGCAGTAAATGGTAAAACTATTTGCTCTACCAACCAGTGTGTTTATAATTATGACAGTACATTAAAATGCTATGATAAGAAATACCTGTTTGCAATATCAAGCATCATAGCGAGCTGTTTTTGCTAAAATAACTGGAAACGGATGACACTGGAAGTTACAAATGGCCACACACGTTATTATTTTAAAAATAAGGTGAACAGTTGAATATTTATTCTTACTTCTGTTTTCTGAAGAGAACATTGCACATGTTGATATATTGTTGCATTGTTTTTACATGCCAAGTCTAATGAAAATCGTCTCTGGTTATACATGTAACCATGGTTCCCCAAGAGGGAATGAGACGCTGCGTCCTCTATCAGACACTATGGGGACTGCTGCCAGCAGGACCGGTGTTTGAAGCACGTGTGAAACAACTCCAATCCCATTGGCCCACGTAGCCTGTGACGTCACAGGTGGGCACCCAGAAGCATAAGAGGGCACCTGCCGAACATGTCACCAACTTGGTTGTCTGAAGGAGACGTAAAAACAGGCAAGCCCTAGGCATGGCGGGGGGACGCAGCATCTTGTTCCTCTCAGGGAACCATGGTTACATGCGCAATCTGAGTCCTCTAGCAGACACTATGAGGAACGGAATGCCCACTCAGCCATGCCACGGCACATGCCTGTTCAGAGCACCAAGAGAAGTGATAGACATACACTGTACCTTCCCTCAGAAAGGGGGCAAGCCACTGACACCTGGGGCCACTAACATAACTTGGAAAAATGGGGAACCCAGTCAATAGGAGGGACATCCCATTAACCAAGCTAAGAACACAGCTATCCTCAGAAAAAGCAGCATGCAGAGCCCAGAGGGACCGTCCACACTTATAAACCCCATAGAAAGCGGGGAGGCAGACCACCCCTACTACCTGACTAAGCTTAAGGGATAAAGGAAGTAGATCATCTATCAAAAACCCCAAGGGGAGATGACTAGAAGAGGATCAGGGGGCTGCCTACTTGAAAAACCCTGATAAGTGGGGCAGCCCGACCACAGAGTTGGGCTGGGTTGTGACACAAATTTCACGATTCGATTCGATTCTCATTCACAAGCTTGCGATTCGATTCGATTACAGATTCGATTCGATTCAATATCGATTATTTTGGATATATATCAGGTACAGTACATGCCAATTTTTTTTCAAGGAAAAAAATCTCTCAACTAATGCTGTAAAATATAGATGAGAGTCAATTGGTAATACATTACAATAATATTGAAGGTTAAAATTGACTGATTTGGTAAAATTACACTAATAATAAAGTTACAATTACATATTAATATTTCTACTTCAATTAGTTTTATTTTAAAAATATAAACATAATGGTGGCTTTCATAAAAACTTGATGGATTTATTCTTAGTTTAAGTATTTGCTATTGACTGTTCAAATGCGGAGTTTTGCGCAGCGCAGAGTAACGCGTCGTGTGTGTGTGTGTGAGGGGAACAGGGTCACATCACAGGAGAGTGAACTGCCTGTCAGAAATCATAGCACGTCAGCTGCCTTAACCGCGGCTTGTGTACTGCATCATCACTGTGTCTGTCACGCGACTCTGTTGCCCTTTCGGGCTTGAACTGATAATGTACAGTATTTGAAAAATAATGTGTTTTTTGAACATTAAAGCATGTCAACAAATTCTGTTACACCAAATACACAAAATAATGATCTTTAAAATAGCATCATATGACCCCTTTAAGAATCGATATCGTTCCGTAAAAATGATAATCGATTAATATTGAGATATCTGTATTTTTTACCCAGCCCTACCACAGAGTGCTTGAAAAAAGCCTTCATCACAAGGGAGAGATTTATGTAGAGCAGTCATTTATGCACCTTTAGTCAATGGTTTGCCAACAAGCGAAACACATAAGAACAACATTAGTCCAGCCTCAGGGCCCTATGAAAGCAGTGTCTCTAAGCGCTCTCCTGCCTCTATGCCCAACTCCTAGAGAGAGGAGGGGCGCGAGTGGCCACGCTACTCTTCTGATCCTGCCTAGGATCCTCAGATCAGGATGGACCAGACCCCTCAGAGGTTTTAGAGGAAGACTTGGGTCAGCGGAGAATGAACTTCCTGTAAGGCAGTGGACCGCGCCGAGTTGAATATGGCTTGTACCTCAATCTCACTAACTCCGTGTGGAGGTCAGGAAGAAAGGGGAGACTCCTGGGAGAGGAGAGTTCATGACCGGCCAGAAAGTGCTTGTCTAATCTGCCACGGGTGGGCTTCCAGACTAAATCAAGCCTCTTACATCAAACGCCATTACGTCAAACATTCCCCGTATGCAGAACTGGAGATAGGTTGGTGGAGATTCAGTGCTCACACTCTCATCTCCATCGCCAACCACCAGATGAGCCTAATGTAGCACTATCCGCAGGATCAGATGACCCAAGAGAAAGAGTATCTGGATCTTGCCGAGCGCCTCGAGAGCCGGACATGCTTGTGCGAATGCTGAATACTATCCCTCGGGAGAGAACAGAATGAAAGGAACTCCTGAAAGGGAAAGCACTTCCTGTCAGATTCCTTCCATGCCCCACCCACAACCCCCGGGATTGGTCTGCCTAGCTGCCTCGGCAGTCATGGGACCCGAACCACGGGTAGTAGGCGCTCAATTCTCATTTCTCAAAAGAGAATCAAGCATATAAGGCATTTCTCAGCATGATCCCATCACGCAGCATGCATTTAGCTCCCCCGAGAGCCAAACACACACTATTCAAACACTAGATTCCTTCAAGAATCAGGCGAGAACAGAAACTGCCGTGAATGCATTGAATTGATCTGTTCAACTCCCTCAAGAGGTGAACACGCTCATGCAAATGCTGTCTACAATCTTGAGTAAAAGGCAAAGCTTTACCTCTGCTCTCAGTAGCCCTTCTCAAACCTCTCTGCAGCGAACCCCACGATCTGAGTCTACACTGTGCCTCGGCAGCAGTGGGACCCGAACCACGAGATGCAGACGCTTGTCCCTTATACCTCGAGAAGAGGGGAAAATGTGAACGGAGCTTTCTCATTGGAAACTTGTCAAAATGAGTGCATTCAGAGCCCACGAGCACCGAACACGTGTGCTTCTCACCAAGACACATAACACATAGATTGTGTGTGTCCTCGGGTGTCAAAAATCTAGGGCATGGAGGCACACACTTTCTAAAATGTTCACTTGCCTTGGTTTTCCGCACAACGCCTTCACACGTACTGTCAAACAAACGGCTCCTGAAGACAACAAAAGTTGGTGACATGTTCGGCAGGTGCCCTCTTATGCTTCCGGGTGCCCGCCTGTGACATCATGGGCTACGTGGGCCAATGGAATTGGAGTTGTTTCACACATGCTTCAGACACCAGCCCTGCTGGTGGCAGTCCACATAGTGTCCAATAGAGGACGCAGCGGGAGTTCCCTATAAGAGAAAAGGGCATTTGTCCTATTTTCAGGGCACAGGGGTAAAACATAATACAATTAGTCTTTGGTAGGTTGCCAGATCTGCACCCTGGATCAGTTTTCAGCTTGTGCTGGCTAAGAGGAAGTGAACTGAAGCTCACAATCAGAATAAGTAGACTCTCAAGAAAGAGGCTGAGATTACTTTATGGTTACTTTGAGATGGATTTAAAAATCAATATTGGTTTGAATACTGGATGGCATTCTTCTGTTTTTATTTTAAATGTAATTTGCACAGAACTGGCTAAAAGGCTAATGTGTTTTACTAATAGATTGTGTTGTTTTGCGATCTTAAAGGGGTCATATGATGCTGCTAAAAAGAACATTATTTTGTGTATTTGGTGTAATGAAATGTGTTTATGCGGTTTAAAGTAAAAAAAACACATTATTTTCCACATACTGTACATTATTGTTTCTCCTCTATGCCCCGCCTTCTGAAACGCGTCGATTTTTACAAAACTAATCGTCTTTGTGTGAACATTTGGGCGGTGTTATGCAAATCTTCCCACATAGTGTGGTAGATATGTGGGGGCGTGTTCGAACGAGCCGTTTTAGGGGGGTATGGCTGACTCTTAACTTTTATAAAGAATATCTCTTTGGATTTGAGACTTTAGTCTTTGCAAATTTACAGATCTTCTTTATGCACCAAGAGCTTGTAACACTCCAAAGAGAAAGGAAAAAATGAAATCGCATCATATGACCCCTTTAACATTTAGTTTGCTTAATGTTATAGTATGTGAGAATGACGGAATCATTGGAAAAATAAATCTAAAATCATCTGACTATGAAATTCACATTCCATTTGGACTCTGCAAAAGACAATCCGTCCATTAAGACTCATCAGGATATTCGTCCTATCAGATCACACCTATACCACACCTCTCTAGTGCTAATGGGCTGCTCAGGCTCACTGAGTGCCTCTATTTCACTCCCAAATTTGATTTCCATCCAAAACCAAATCTCTTTAAAGTGCTGGACTAACGGATAAGAGACATTAGATGCTGAATGTAATGTTTCAGCACCTGCTAATATGACCAAATCCCTCTGATTTCTGAGGGGGAAATCCCTTCACCACTGGCACCTGGCCATCTCCAGTCCTTCTGCTTGACAGATGAAAAGAAAAGAGCCAAATAACAGCCTCAAATGCAGATTCATTGAAACCACAACCCAGAAACTCTGCAAAACTATGATATGGGGAAAATCTGCAAAGACATTATGATTGACAAGTGTGCTTTAAGGAATGACTTGTGTCTGTCACGGATGGATAGGAGGATGGATGCTAAACGATGATATAGATTCCCAGAGGGAAACTTAAGTTGCGTTACAGCAACAGACGACAAATAAAATAAGTTAATGAAAAAATACAACCTATTTTTTTTTCAGCTTTCAGAACTATCATTTGGCTTTGTCTTTTTTTTACAAGTGGGTTTGCAGTGTTAAATGTGAAGTGTGTAATTTCTGTACCGCTAGTCTAACTATACAAAATTGCAAAAATACTGTCTATTCTGCATGATGACTTTTAATGTGTTTCCTTACAGCATATTTTCATGAATTTTTTTTCCCTCTTTCCATGTCTTCCCTGCCCTTCACTTCCATTTTGTCCTCTGACATGCTTCATCAGAGGAGTCATTCCCGTCATTCTCCTGGGACTTTACTGGAAGTATGATCAACTTTTTGTATTCAGTTTTCTAATAATATATTCTAGGCTTGACATAAGAATCTACATCAGTGGTTCTTAAACAGGGGGCCTCAGCAAACTTCTAAGGTGGTCTCAAAATGATTTAAAATGTTTTGAAATAATACAAAACAAGCCTTGGAGTCAACAATGTTGAGAACCACTGATCTAAGCTGAACTTTGTAATGTTATTATTGGATACAGTAAGTCCCAGGTCTGTCTGTCCTCAGTGTCAGTAGGAATCTGAGGATCAGCAGCCTGTTGCGCTGCAAAACATGAAATCAAAGGAGGTCTAGTACTGTGACTCTAGGGCCAGTGACCTTTGATCATTTCAGACAGATTAAGAAGCACACCGTTAAAATGCACCTGTCGATGGGAGCATAAATTGAAGGTCTAAGCCCAACATTGCCTCTAATACTTTGATACCATAATGATCCCTTAGATCGTCAGTGTGGTTTGGAGTTCATCCCAGTTTTGATGCATCTGAGATAAAATAGAGGTTTAGCATACAAGACAATGTTATTACAGGCAGTTTCAGAACAGCATTCCTTGTAATATTCCAAGATAACAATGTCCAAAAGCATTCATCTGACTTCATGTAACCACCACCTTGTTTTCTTTCTCAGCCCATTCCCGATTCCCCCATGAGACGCTCCGCATCCACTTTTGCACCACAGCGCCCTCAGGAGGTGAATCTGAATGACTACACTTTGGCGAAACCTGTTCAAGAACGACATCACCACCATCACCATCATCACCGATGCCATCATCGTAGGGACAGAGACAAGAAACAGAGATCTCTGGACAGATCGCCCACTGGCCAACACAAAGCTACAGGTCAATACACTTTCATAAGATCCCTGTAAAATACAACTCAAAACTAGATGCATGAAGTGATGTAGCACAATGTTTTCATCCACGGATTTCTCTGGGGATTTTTAGTTGCATCAGTTGCAACTGATTCTAAACCCAGATGGGATTTGGTTGTGTTGAGGATTGGTGAAGTGCAGAAGCGGGGCCTGGTGTGAGAGCGTCCGACCGCAGCTGGCCTCTATTAGCCAGATAAAAGGGACTGACAGACATGCTGACCCATGACCTGATAATTTATGGTTACCTCTCAGCAGGCCAATTGAGAACATGGAAGAAAAATTCAGGCAGTCAGGTTTTTGACTGGAGTCTGAAAATCCAGAGGAGAAGGGAGACTGGGAGAGATGGATCTGCCACAGCAGGGCTCAATAGCTCAAGAAATCCTGTTGGTTTTGTTTTATTTTTCCTTCAAGTTTCTTAAAAAAAAAAAAAAAAGCAGGAAGGGGTAAAAAAATCCTGACCTTTTCTTAAGTTTTTGATCATCACTGGGTCAAAACAACCAAATCTGTTTTTCCTTCAAGTTTCTTAAAAAAAAAAAAAAAAAAGCAGGAAGGGGTAAAAAAATCCTGACCTTTTCTTAAGTTTGGCACAGATAATTGTACTTGAATTTAAAATACGATTTTTTCTCAGTTGCAATTTTTAATATAACTCCGATTGGATTCGTCTGAAAGAAGAAAGTCACATACACCTAGGATGCTTCGAGGGTGAGTAAAACACAGGCTAATTTTCATTTTTGGGTGAACTAACCCTTTAAGGAAGTGTTTAATTTCTCACTGTTTTTTTTTTTTAAGAAAATATGAGCAGATATTGCATTGTATTCTGCTTTCCACATTATTAAGACTTATTTTAATTTCTTTGAATTAAGTTTTATTTTTTTACCTCATTTGTCAAAAATTAAGCATCCTTTTTTTCTTGTTTAAGCAGTTTTGTAGTTAAAACAACAACAAAAAGAAATTAATTTAAAATCTTCAATCATGGCCTAATGGTTAGAGAGTCGGACTCGTAACCCAAAGGTTGCGGGTTCGAGTCTCGTAACGGCAGGGATTGTAGGTGGGGGGAGTGAATGTACAGCGCTCTCTCCCACCGAATCCAATCGGAGTTATATTAAAAATTGTCCTGGCCCCTCCAAGCCTTTCAATGGGGGGTAAGTGGGTGTTGGTTGTCAACAGTTCAAAGACGTGAAATAAAGTGCTCGCATCCGTAATAAAACGTCCCTCACACGGCTCCAGTGGGTGAATAAAGGCCTCCTGTAGCGAATCTAGCGCTCTCTCCCACCTTCAATACCACGACTGAGGTGCCCTTGAGCAAGGCACCGAACCCCCAACTGCTCCCCGGGCGCCGCAGCAAAAAAATGGCTGCCCACTGCTCCGGGTGTGTGTTCACAGTGTGTGTGTGTGTTCACTGCTGTGTGTGTGCACTTTGGATGGCATAAATGCAGAGCACTAATTCCGAGTATGGAATTATACTCCATACTTGGCCACATGTCACTTCACTGATTAAGGAAACACTTTTGTTGCAATGCATGTTTTGTTGCATTGTCATATGTTGCAGTCGCACCTCATATTTTTCGTTGGTTCTCAGGCACAGCCGCTGACCCTGTAGAGGAGAGGTCGCATGACCGAGGTCGTTCCCACGAGAGGAAGCATCATTCGTCTTCGGCGGAGAAGCAGCGGTATTACTCATGTGATCGCTACGGCAGTCGGGAACACTGTCCCAGCAAGTCTGCCGTGGCAAGCTGTGCCACTTCGCCTATCGAGGCCCAGGAGGCCAGTCTCAACAAGCAGGTGGGATGGGGTTGTCAAGACAGGACAGGGACATGTGTTAAAATAGGCTAGGTCAGAGGTTAGAGACTGAAAAATGTTTAGGAATAAATAAAAAGATCTGTTGATTTCGATCTAATAAAAAACATGTTAGGGATTTGAGACAAGATAAAAATTAAATAATTATGAATGTTGAAATCTGTGGTAAGTGCCAAGATGCATTATACAGTAATAAAGATAATGTTCGGTTACACTTTATTTCGATAGTCCACTTTAGACATTCTATTAACTATAAGTAACTTTGTAACTACATGTCAACTACATGTCAACTAATTCTCATTAATTTGCAACTACATGTCTACTAACTCTCAGAGTAGACTGTTAGGGTAGGTTTAGGGTTAGTAGAATAAGTTGACAAAGAAAGTGTTAGAAGATATTAAGCAGACAGTCTACTAATACTCTACTAACTGCTAGTTGACATGTAGTTGCAAAGTTACTTACTGTTAATAGAATGTCTAAAGTGGACTATCGAAATAAAGTGTTACCTAATGTTCTGATTTAAACACAAGTTACGCTCTATGGTCAGCATCTGTGTCCCTCAATATAAGAAAAAAGCAATACACTTACAATGGAAGAGAGGGCAAGAGATTTTTAAAATACACACTGTTTTGAAACACATATTTAAGACTTATATTGTACATTAACAAGATACTAACATGATGGAATGATGGAAAGTTCTATGCAGTCTTTTAACTTCTGTCATTACCATATAACCTGGTATCCTTCACATGATGCGTGAAAGGATACTGGAAAGGGAAGTGGCATAACCTTTTGCCAAGGACTGAACCAAAGTTTCACCCACAGAAATTAGGCAGTAATAGAAAATCATCCAAAAAGTAGAAGATCTTTCCAGTTACTGGATGGACTAAATCTATTTTAAAACTAAATGGACTCTATCTATTGTCTATGTATTTCAGCTATATTCCGCTAAGTATTTCCCATAGCAAACTGTGGTAGCAGCTAAGTCTTTCCGTCATATTTCTAATAATATGATCACAACTAATTATATAATAATAAAGTATATTTTATATATTATTAATCTTCCTCATGATTTTCCACTGTAATTGCATTAATGTAAAAGCGGTTATTGTTTTTAGAAACTGCGGGACTAGTTTAAAACCTAGAAATATTCCTTTAAGTTATCCAATTTATTTTTCAGCACAGAAGTAACTTATTATTATTATTATTATTCTGTGAATGTACGAGATTTATGATTCATTAGGCGCTGTTGTGGCCATTTAAGAAAGTATTTTTATTTTATATTATTTATGTTTAAATATTATTTGTTTGTGTTTTGTTTAGTTCAATTTGCTAATTAAGAAAATTGTAAACGTCATAAGGGCGTGGTAAATTGGACGGCAGTACGCTGGAAGAAAGGAAGTGGGTCAGACATAATGTTTTGACCACTTCATACGTTTTTGTTTGTAGAATCCATTTTTTCGAACGAGTTTCGTTTGGTATAATTTGTATCTTAATTTTAATATGTTTTTGTTGGTCAATTATTTACCTGAATAAATGAGAAGAAAGAATAAGCGTTTCATGGAATGAAGTGCGTTCAAAACAAAGCCCGCTACCATGCTTCCGCGGCCAAAACAAAGGCCGAAACAGGCGCTATAGGTAAATAACTAGAAGAACAACAAAGTGCAGTAAACTGTAAAACTATTTGCGCTACAAACCAGTGTATTTGTGATTACAAATGTAAATCAAAATAATTTGACAAATGCTAGTTTGCAATGTCAGGCAGCGTAACAGACTGTTTTGTGCAACTAAAATAACTGGAAGTGGTAAAAATAGCCACATCCACTCTTACATTAAAAACAAGGTGGATTGTGAGTATTAGACTGATAAAAGTGACATTTAAAGGGGATCTTAGGTCAGTTAGCTTTTATACCTTTTTAATGAAAAAAAAAATCAACATTGCATTGCTTACCTTGTCTGATGACAACTCATTTGTATGTTTAGAATCATATTAGTTGCATTTCAGGGATTTTAGCTGTTTAAAGTCAGTTTTGCCATTACATATTTTTCAGATGGTAAAGCAGAGAATGTAGCTATAGTACAGTTAGACTCTTCTGCACAGGCTGCTGTTGGATTTTAAAGCTCTCAGGCCACCAGTCACAGAAATGCTGTAAAGTGATAACCATTCCTACTCAAGCCATGAAGATATTGAGATATTATAGGATTTTTTTCTTCTAAAGTGTTTTACATTTTGTGATATAAACATGATAAATTAAAATGTTTCTCTTCTCTACGGCTGTAGTGCAACCACTCATAGGCTTTCACTTCTCTTTCCACTCTTCTTCCATACCATTTCTCTGTGCATTTGTCCGTCTTTTCTTTCTTTGTCTTCACTGTCATTTTCACTCTCTTCTTTTTTTCATTTTTGTTCTATTCATCTTCCATCTTTTTCTGCTGTCTTGTCCAACATGTTACTTCTCCTTTCCTTCCGTCCTTCTTTGGCCCCTGGTCCCTATCTAACCTTTTGGACATTTCCCCCTCACCATTTTATTGTTTTGATTTGCTTGTTGAATTTTCATCTAGGGCAGTGGGTGGGCTAAGGGGAGCCCGGTGTTGTTGACCTCAGGGGCGAGCACTCCAAGCAGTGGGCGCAGACAGCTGCCCCAGACCCCCCTTACTCCTCGTCCCTCTGTGGCCTACAGGACTGCCAACTCCTCCCCTGTGCAGTTTCTGGGCACACAGGCCGGCTTGCTTCCCCCGAGTCCCGGCAGGCTGAGCCGCGGTCTGTCCGAGCACAACGCCCTCTTACACAGCGGCTCCATCTCCAACTCGCCGGCCCCTGTCAGTCGCATTAACTCAGAACCCTTCCTTGGGCCCCCGGACCACCCTGCCGTCCTCCAACCCGAAGCCTACGCTGTCTTCCAAGAGGATCTGAGCCCTCAGATGGGCCGTTCTCCCCAGACTGTAGGGATGCCGATCGTGGCGATTCCTCCACCTCCCCAACAGCAGTTCCGTGGGGTTCCCAATGGATACCACTTTACCAAGGGCCCCGGCGCCAGCAGAGGACGGGCACGGCAGTACTACCCAGAGGCAGAGGTGGACGACTGGTGCTAGCATGGCTTTAATTTACACACACACATACAGATGATGTTTTTGTTTTTCAAATCATGATGAGTTTTATCATCTCTTATTTTGCGGGTGGTGTTAAATGCAGTAATAAATGTATTTGTTTTTCAATGTCCAAAGGATAAAACATACATGTACGCTTACAAAGCAGCAGATGTGGTATAAAAAGGATCAAATTCACCCAATTTGGATGTATTTCAGTCAGGCAAAATGGTTTGGTGGGTGTGGTCTCTTTAAAAACACACAAGATTGACAGTTTATGTGCAAACACATGGGCTTTCTCTTAATCTTTGCCTTTTTAAGGGCAACAAATGCCAAAATGTGCTTGTGTAACCTGGGAAAAGACTGACCCACTGCTTTAAATGTAGACCACAATGGGCATCTGGCCAGTTTCCCTCAAAGCCAGCCTCTGAGACGCACCCCAAATGCAAATATTCCCATGAAAATGTTATCTTGGCATTATAGATGTACCTTGTATCGTTTTATTTGGCGAAACGCACAATATCAGTGCCCCCCATCTCAGTCTAAGAGAATTAAACGTTATTTCACACTGTTGCGAAAGCAGATTGTTCATTATGCTGCTGATGACCATTCCTCACACATATCACTCAGTGTGAAACCTTTGACAACCATATTGTACTTTGTTTTATATCAAATTGTGGATATTTTATCTATTCAATATGTGCTTTTTTGTATTGTAAAGACGAACGGTTTTACGTAAATCGCTTACGGCTTCATCATACTGTCAGGTCTAACGATTCTTCTTGACTGCTCCAGATGTTATTTACAAAGTGCCTAACCTTTTGAATATATTGTAGTAATGCAACCTCAGCCTTTTTTAGTGCATCCACACTTGAGAGAGTGAACTGAACAAGCTCTAAGGGTTAAATGGAACTACAAGGTGTTACGATCGCAGGCCTTAATTCAGAAGATACAGTACCTTTGAATTCACATTAGGTTTTTGAATGGAAATGACAGTATGATTGTTTTGTTTTTTAAATTCTTGTCTCCTTTTTTGTACAATTTAAGTACTGAGTGGAATATTGAAAAATTCCGTCACCAAAAGCATATATTAGTATGGAGTACCTATTAAAAAACTGCAGTAGTTGTGTATTTGTCCTGACGGGGACTTTATAACCACAGTTGTAAAATTGCATGTTAAAAAAGTCTTCAATTCTTGATTGACCATGGTTAAGAAACCAATATTTATGGTGTATATTGATGAAGATGCTCAGACTGCATTGCTATTTGCCTTCTCTGTTTGATCTTTTATGGTTATATGCAAGGGCTGAGAACCGAGGAACTGTCACAAAGGAGCATGCTTTGCTCGTGTAGCAGGTTTCCTGATGTGAGCACGTGTTGTGTTGCATTGAGTCGGGGTCCTGGCACCGGTACAGTAGGCTGATCTGTGTTAAGGTTAAACTTTCCCCCTCATGGCACTCCTCCAAGCACCCCCAGACACACATACACACTCACAGCTTTTATTCTGCCGCCGTTCCCCAGCTGCTGGCTATATAGAAATATGGCCGGCTCCTTTTTATCATGCTGGTAACATGAGAGGAATACTGAGCCACCTGAATTCAGAGGGTGAGGCAGTCTGAAAGAACAGAAAAAAGCCTCTGTATCGGGACACTGTACGGTCCAGGATTATTTCACGAGTTCTGCATTGACATACATGAATACATTAGATGCTTGGAGAATTGTTTGGGTAATCAGGTGATTCTTGGCCACTGATGTGTCAGGACTATGCTGACAGTGAATGTTCTTTCCTTTTCTTTTGTTTAAACATATATTTTCTTTATGTAGGGCTATGCAACGAGATGACACTTTGAAAAATATACTTCATTCATTTTGTAGCTTTACCTGCTGGGAAATCCAGATTCAGGCTTTAGCATGATAGTGACCAAATCTTTTTTTTTTTTTTTTTTATAAAAACAATGAAAAAAATGTATGAAAAAGTATATTTTAGAATGCATAAAGGCACAATGATTTAAAAAAGCAGAAATCAGCAAAAATGTATATATATATAAAAAAATTGCAAGTTTCGGTATGTGCATGCATCAGAGATGTCCAGTTTGTCAGGGGGAAAAAAGAAAAATTTTGTTTCAGATCTATAGTCTGAACAACTGCTATTTTTCTACATGCTCTGTGAGAGTGAGGTTAAAGGATGTGCTGACATTTTGCTGATATTGTTATGAGTTGTTGCATTGTTCACGTGTAACTATGGAACAAATCTTTGCACTCCCAGCACATCTATTGATGTCCTTCGGCATGTTGGCTCAAAACTGGGGTTCTGTCGATAAACCCATTTCTTCAGCTTCTCTATGATTTGGGAAAACATCATATTCATCTATCAAACCTTTCATAATTTATTGCCAAAATCTGAAATGCTCTTTTCCCCTGTACATCAACCAAGCTTAAATCTGGCTGTTTCCAGAAAGATTAATGTTTGCATGGTCTTAAAATGTATGTGCATGTTGAAATACCCATGGGTTATCTTCATACTTTTTGATACAATGATTTCTTTTTTGGTTTGATTTTTTAAATGACCTTTGATATGAATTAGGGGATTTGTTGAAATAAAAAAAATGAATTGTTGAAACATTTATAAATAAAGGAAAAAGTATTGATATGTTGACAGCTCCGTCCATGCATAAGAGCTGGCACATCCTTTATTTGATTTCTGCTATTGACTTGTTTGTTGCCTGATTTCTGTTCCATGGCCAGGACTTTGAAATCTGCAGTTGTTTCTACTATAACATTTTGTATTAAGCGAAGTCCTTGAATTAAAAAATTAACTCAAATAATAGAGATCTGTGGTTTATTGAAGGCTTACGTTGTCATGAAAACTTGCATGTATTGCATTTTTAATACACATTTTCTTCTTAAAGGGGGGATGATGTTACAGATTGATCAAAGCATGGAACTGTACAGGAGTGGCAAGGTGAATCAGGGTCCCACCTGTCTGGAGGCTTACTGGGATCTGATTGGCTGGTTCGTGTAATGTGGGCGGGCTTGAACGGGGATGATTGGGAAGCGTGCACTTGCAGAGCAAGACTTCTAGAAGTAGACTGATAACAGATATCTCGCCCAATACTTCTGTAAACTTTCCAACACCATAGACACATCAGCTTTTAGGCTATAATTTATATTCATGATTTTCCCCCAACCCCAACATTTTCATCATTTTACTACCATTTGAGTGTTAACTGTTGCCAGCACTGGAGGAACACTGCTTTTCAAAGATGTGGTTCATTTTAGCATTGTGTGCACTGGTTAAAGCTTTCCATGCAGACTTCTCGGAAATTGGATCTGGCGCTCCGGTCTCAGGTAAGAACAGAGCGGAAACACTTCACCTGCCGACGCTCGTGTAGTGTAAACAAAACAATTAGCATTCAGTGTAATATTATATAATTAGTTTACGTTGTTTAATTAAAAAGAAATAGATAGATAAAAATGGGATTAAAAGGGCATTTACCTCACTGTCACGCTTACTATTTTTTACTGTTTAACAACCTAAAATTAACATCCAGGTTATTAAGAAGTATTTTCTTAATTCGTAGTCATTTATGCGCATACTGCAAAAGATGCTCTTCTAATACTAGTTACAGATAGTAATACAGCCAGTCCTTGCAAGTGCTATGGCAATTTCTTATCATTTTAGTAACTTTTTGAATTTTTCCATTCTCTGGTGCAGTTGTGTTGTGTAGTATCCATATTATCCCGAGGTGGCGGTGTAGTAACGCATATAAATGTTGGCATATTCTCTAATTGTACATTATCTTTTTGTCGTGTTGAAGCATGAGCTTAGCCAGCCAATGAAAAGCTAAAACAATTACAGACTATTTCAAGTTACGAAAAATTCAAATAGCCTAATGTGTTTGCAGTTTGTACACTCTGATGGTAAAGCTCATAGAATGTTCTGTCAACAGCTGTTGAACATATTTCTTAGTGAAAAGCCATAACCACATTCAAGTTCTTTACATTTTTCCAGAAATCTGTTCCACAGTCTTATACCACCATGTCACAATTTATGCTTAAAAACGTCCATATGTTAAAGGAAACTGATTTGGGTTTTCTAATTGAGCTAATGTTACTGCAGTTTCTCATGGGCCCTGTTTCAGCCACCTGTCCCATTGAATAGGGTCTGCCTTCTCAGTGGTTGGAGGACATTGTGGATAATCTGGGGATTATTAGAGCGAGTCTGCAGAACCCATTATGTTATCAGTGCAGTAGCATGTTTTACAACCTTTAATAAGATGTGCCATTCATGAGCTTGTGTTCATTTATTCAGTAAATTTGTTGGTTTTCAATTGCTAGGCTTCATAAAATTTACTCACAGCTCAGTTGCCATCAACATATTTTCAAGCTACTGAGACAGAGACATTAGATTTATACAGAGATGTTTCTGTTTGTTAAAGCCCTAAATTACATAATTGAAGAGTTCAGATATAGGTTTGAGAATGGTCAGGTTTCTATATTGTAATTTTTGGAAAATGTTCTAGTTTTACTGGAAATTTGGAGCACATCTTGCTTTTATTTGATCATGTGTACAACTCTGATCAAGTCTAACTTTCAGAATGTGCAAAATGCAGATGTGTTTTTAAAAGCCCCATCTGATTGCGGTACAGTAACAGTATTTTGTCTATGGGCAGATAATAATGTATATTGCCATTTTAGAACCTCTTGGCAAGGACCTTCAACAAGAGGTCAATTAAAATATTATAAATATAAAATATTATTACAATTTCAAATAACTATTTTCAATTTCAGTATATTTCAAAATATCATTTATTCATGTGATTGCAAAGCTAAATTTTAAGCAGCTATTATGCCAGCCTTCAGTGTCACATAATCCTTCAGCAATTATTCTAATATGCAGATTTGGTGCTCAAGTAACATTTCTTATTATTATCAATGTTGAAAACAATTGCTCTGCTTAATATTTTAGTGGAAACTGTGATATACTCAGTTTTTTACAGGATTACTTGAATAGAAAGTTCAAGAGAACAGCATTCATTTGAAACGGAAATCTTTTGTAACATTAGAAATGTGTTTACAGTCACTTTTGATCAATTTAATGCATACTTGCTGAATAAAACTAGGAATTTCTTTAAAAAACCAACCCACTTTCTCAACCCAGTAATGTACATATAGATAGTTAGCTGACCAAAGATTAGACAAGTGGGATTGATTAATCATATCCATAGACAAAGAAAAAAGGACATTCACAATATTGTTCTGAACACATTTTTCCTCAAACATCTTTTACTGTATTTTAATACACTCTCAGCCAGTGTTAGCCAGTCATGTCCTTACTCCATCATTACAGTGAGAACATCAGCTGTGTGCATGATGTCACAGTGATAATAGACGGTTGGCTGTCAAATGCAAGGATACGGTCTGTTTGCTCTGAACACAATCCTTTCTTTCTTCTCATTTTGACTGTAAATCAAATCTCTGGGGCGTCTGTCTCTGTGGCAGCTTCAGGCAGGCAGCTATAGTAGCAGACACAATTAATGCTGTCCCTGATTGATAACCATGAGTCTGGTGAGCAGCTAGGGTAAAAAAATCCCCTTAAACTTGACTGATTATTTGTCTGGAGGCCATTGCATTACTGTACTGTAAGGAAAATGCAGGCTGGCTGTCTGGGTTACAGCCATGGAGACTAGACCTAATCTGGACAGTGTTACCCTTATCACATCACATCAGTAGTCAAGAAGTAAAGAGCTCAACCTGTGCCTTAGTAAAATCTGCACATGCTTTCAGTTAGCTATATGTTTTTAAACTATATGAGAGAATGATGGACTGTAAATGTGAAGAAAAGCTTCCATTGTATGGAATTAAAGGTTCAGATTTCGATAGATTTGTTGCACTTTCAGTTGTTTTCCATTACGTTAAGGGTAATTATAATTTGTCCTAACAAGCGGATAGTTCACCCAAAAAAATATTCTCTCATCATTTACTCACCCTCCTGTCATTCCAAACCTGTATGACTTTCTTTCTTCTGTTTAACAAAAAATTAAAAAAGACGACTTTACTTTTAATACCCAAGTAGTATAACCACACTAAAATTTAACCTTGCTGATATTTAATTTCTTCAGTAAAGACAAGTCATTTTATGTGCCCTTACCTGGTTAGGAACAGGTTACCTTGTCCACACCACTACTTCACAAGAAGTATTCTGTAACGTAATATCTAAATCATTAAGGTTCAGGGTGTATTCTATTCATTTCCTCCAGAAGCGTAGTGCTTGTCTGGAAATTTAGAAATTAAATGCATTTTTTTTTTCCAATAAAGTTAAGATCATGGTGAGGCTTATACAGGAGCATATAGCCTACCATCATTTAACAATGTCAGAGACCATACTTTTTTATGAATACTGTGAATTTTATTATTTTATTTTTATTATTTTTTTTGTATTTTTTTTCTACATTTTAATTATGTTTTGCTTAAAAATTACAAGATCAAAATATTCTTTAGTAGTAAATGTACACTACCGCTCAAAAGTTTGGGATCAGTAAGACTTGTATTTTTTTTTAAAGAAGTCTCTTATGCTCATCAAGGCTGCATTTATTTGATCAAAAATACAGAAAAAAACAGAAATCTTGCAAAATGTTATTACAATATAAAATAATGGTTTCTATTTTAATAAAAAAAGCATTTATTTAAAATATAAATCTTTTCTAACAATATACAAGTAATAATGTAAATTTGTATTCTTTCTTTTTTTTGAAAGAAATTAAAACATTTACTCAGCAAGGATGTGTTAAATTGATAAGAAGTGATAGCAAAGATTTATATTGTTAGAAAATATTTATATTTTGAATTAATGCTGTTCTTTTTCACTTTTTATTCATCAAAGAATCCTGAAAAAGTATCGCAGTTTCAAAAAAAAAATATTAAGCAGCACAACAGTTTCCAACATTGATAATTCTAAAAATAAATCAGCATATTAGACTGATTTTTTAAGGA